AGATAACCTAATCGTTGTCCAATGATTATATATAATATATATATCGACTATTCAACTAGTAGTCTCTTGCAATTCTAAACAGTTCAAAATTTGTATTCGGATTCACCAGGATATTCTAGTTTTTTCCTTATTAATCCCTTCGATTATTCAGTGAATGACTCGAATATGAATCCATTTTGACCATAAATAATCACCAGGGATTAGTACTCGACCGAGTTCAAGTTGGTTAGATACTCAATTAATATTTGACTAAGAAACAAATTTTGCAGATGATTATTAACTTGATCAAAATAAGATAATAAAAAATATATTTTATAAAACGTATAGTTAACAATTGGTGGAGATAGAGTAGAGAAGGTGAAAGGGAGTGTTGCGCGAGAACATGAAAAGTTGTCTGCTTACACATATAATGCTGACAAAAGTTCATTTGCTGTCTTAATTAAAATGGAAGATGACTTAATCAGGTTTTTGTGCTGTCTAATTGTTTTCTTAATTTTAAACAAAGTTACGTACAAAATTATCGAAGAAAAAAACAAAATTAAGTCCTTTCGTTACACCAAGAGGCCTTACTAGCTAGTCACTACACGTATATATAATTGTATACGCAAAAAGACTATTAATTAAGCATATTTATTTTGCTCTTACTAAAATCTAGCGTGGAAGTAGTTTTAACTTTTAAGTTTTAATTATACGCGTCTTTACGTGATTTCGACAATTGTGATTTATCTTCTTCTTTTAAAAAAAAAAAAATTCAAATGTAGGAGATTATGATTAAAAACCTTGCACCTTGTACCAAGTTCTCCTCATTATGGAAAGGTTAACACCTTCAATATGATAGCCTAAAAAATAGGGTTTTGACTAGCTATTTTAGTTGCAAATGGTATTTGATTATTTTAGTTTAGTTGTAGTTAAACATAAAATATACAAAACTATATGGAAAATAAGGATAGAAAAGTCAAAAATATGAGAATTGTGTGAACTGGGTAAACAAAATAAATTATGTGATTTGATACTTTTCAGTTTTCACAAAATGACGATACTTCTAAGATATATAAAGTATGGAGAAACAAGCCCACGTAGTTTTAATAGATCTGATTGTGGAATATCATAGTGCAGAAAGACTCTCTAAGAGTTAATCGACCTAACCAACTTTTTAATTTAATCCACATCCCCACCCACGTTTGGTTATATATATCATATAATATAAACTATTTTTATTCGCAATTGCAACAACTAACAAGGTTAGAAACTTAAATAAATATATTGATACTATTGTATATATTTTTTTTATATACACGTCCGTTTTCTTCTAAAACATTTTTTATAACCAGGTGATTCTATAAATCAAACCCTGTTTTTAATCTCTGACTCTATAGAAAATAAAAATTTCTGCCACTAGTTAATCCGTATAACTTACCAAGATAAAATCACAATAGAGATGATTCAATCGTTGATCTTGATTAGCAAGAGAGTTTTCTACCGTACCGTTCGATCACTATGATTGGTTTATTTTTGTTCCTCGTATATTAGTATTATTTAGTAACTTTTTTTTTGGTATCAATTATTTAGGGTTTGACTGGTTTAAACGCAGCGGTTGCGGTTGTGGAAGTTTGCGGAAGCGGACGGTAGCGGTTTCAAACGTTATTTAGCGTTTTGACCGAATGGTTTAACGGTTGAAAACTGGTGCATTTGCGAGAGATTTATGACTGGTTGATCAGCTGATACGATAGTGGTTAAACTAGAATTTACCAAAAGAAATTTAATATATGATTATAAAAATGTATAAAAACACCAAAAACTATAATTATGAAAAAGTATAAATTTTTTATACATAATTAATGATTAAAAACCATAAATAATTATTCAAATAAATTTTATATTGAAAACAAAAATAATTATTAATATTGGAAAATTAAAATTAGATAATTATTATTTTTTTTAGAATTAACGTGAATATATATAAAACTTGATAATATATATTTTAATTTGTTCATTTTTTTTTAGTTTCTTTCATTTTTTAAACTAACCGCAACCGCAAACGTTTGTGGGAATGAGCTTTTGAAATCCAACGATTTCGAACGATTCAAAGCGGTGTGGAACGGTTTCTATGATTGGTACCAACCGCTAACAACCGCAACCAACCGCTAACAACCGCTAGACGGGTGCTAACGGGAGAACCAATCAAGCTCTTAGTAACTTGAGAGTAGTGGTAGGACAAAGAGATTTATGGGATTGCCACCTGAGAAAGGGTCTACATGTTGGTTTCTATACGTAATACAAATTAAATAATTTTATTTAAGTATTTATAACTTAATCTCAAATTAATTATATTATTTTAAGGTTAAGATTATAATTCTCAACATTGCTCGACAACCCTGACCTTAGTTTTCATATATATCATATACCAGACGTTTTGTCCATTGTACTCTCTATCGTCGGCACATTTTCTTTTATATCTTAGAAATATAAGTTAAAGGCCTAATTAAAGTACTGCATTTTTTTTCTTTAACATGTATAGTGTGTTTAGCACTCTCTTATCTGAAATTCAAAATGCTTAAATGTATATATGCATGGATTGACAAAGAATCAATCTTACGAGAGCATGGTTTGTAAAGTTAAAGAATAATTGATCATATTTGCAACAACAAAACTGATAGATAACAACTGATTCCTCGATTAAAAGAGACAAAGAAATGATAGATCAATAAGAAAATAGAAAAACATAGTTAGGTATTCGATTTATTTAGATGCAAGATATGCTGGTTCATACTATATACACACAAGTGTTTAACGCATGCATGTGTATAACTATAATCTAGCCTAGGTCTTAATAGGGAATGGATCCCTAGAAAATTTAAGGGATCGTATCTAGATCGAATAACCAATATATATTAATATTATACGTAAGAATGTAGGTAGCTAGATAGGAGCAGGTCCACAATTAGAGTATGTATACACACATACAAAACTATATTCTCCACTAATATATGGATCCCTTAATTATTATTAGTAATGGAGAAAATTTATTTCTTTTCAACATTACAATAAGCCTCTTGAAGAATTGAAGTATTGAGTCCTTACAATATTGGGCGTTCCAACCACTACCGGTCCACCACTGATGGAGTATACACTGTTCTAGACGGTTTATACAGTAATTTAAGTAGAGAATATTGCCAATAAAAAGGTTATTACATCGATTTAATCGATAAAATAAATACTTTGTAAATCAATTAAACAGGCTGAGAGTCTGAGATACACTAGAGGTTCTAGCAGAGCCGTGCATGTTTGATAAAAAAAGAAGCCACCGCCTACGCCACTAAATTTTACTTCAAATCTAGAAGAGCATATTTTTAGTCATATCATAACCCATCAATTATTCAAAGATTATTATTCTATGGTTTTTATTGTCCACGCACTTGTTGTTTTAACTATTTCTTTATAAATTTTTAGTCAGTTTTAACCATTTCTTTATACATTTTTAGACTTCAAATTTCAGTCACAACTAATATATATATGATTTAATTTATGTTGACAACAATTTATTTATAAATTATTCGGGTTAAGTTTTATTACTTAAGTATTGAACTACATTTTGTGTGATATATAGTTGTTAGAAAATCAATTTTTATACATTGAATTATATATTTTTTTATTTTGCCTATGGCATCAAAAACACTTGGCACGGCTCTGGGTTCTAGCAGACATGTAAACTGTTTTTATTTTTTATGAAAGACGAACACTTTTGTTTTTTTTTATTGATCAAAACGAACAATTTTTTTGTTGATGTATATCTTGCTTACATAAATTAATCTGTCAAAGAAATTTAAATGAATGTGAGACTGCTATATTGTTGATGTATTTATTATAAAACATTTTAAGAACCAAAAAAATGAGTAAGGTTTGCTTGATCTTATAAAACATGAATTTTATCACCACAGGGCCGGTGCGGTATACCTAAATGCCCTACACAACTAAAAGAAATCATGCCCTTTCTAAATTTTTTTTTTCTTCGCATCACAAATAAAACTAATACTAAACTAAAAAAACAGTAATTAATTTCATAAGAAGTTTGTAAGAAAAAAATATATATATTCTCTAAATATAGCTCTATTTAGACTTTTACCAGCAAAATCATTCATCAAACTCACGTAGTCGAGCTTTTCAACCATAGCTGTCTCAATGGATAGTAATGCCAACCCATTTAATATTTGTAAATGTTTAGGGTTTTATTTTATTTTAAGACAAAAATTTCCAAAAAAAAATTCATTAACAACATATTAATTAACATTTTATTAATTTAAAGGCATAATATCCATAAAATATAGTGAAAGGAAAGTCTAACAAATTTATTTCTCAAAAAAAGCTTATAATTTTTTTTTAACATATAAGACCCTAAAAAAAATTCTAAAATATATGCCCCCTTTAATTTGATGCCCTAAGCTATCGTTTCACTTGATTGTGTTATGCGCCGGGCCTGTCACCATTTACTTGGTTTCTAACTTTTTTAATTATATAATGTGTGTCTTTAGAGGTCTTCGATGATTTAAGTCGAAAGTGATCCTACTATGTTATATGTGTATTTGTGAATGGTAATTTTCTTTCCACAACTGATTTACGATGAAATTTTTTACTATCAATTTACTGATAATTTGTTGTATTTTGAAGTCACGAAATTGTCATTTTAAATGATAAAAATATCTCATAAATATATGATAAACACATCATATAGATATTTACGTTCCAAATTTTCATTGCCAATCAATTCAAATATTTTTATGGAGCAAATAGATTTTCTCAAATGTTGGAAGGGCCGGGTAGGTTAGAAGGTCTAGTTGTGTGGAGACAAAAAAGAAAAACAAACCAAAGTCTATAGTGTTTTTATTCTTTATATTTTGCTTTCGGTTTAATCAAATTGGTTTAGTAGAGATGTACACGTCCATTAATCTACTATGCAATCTATTTTTTGGTATTTTTTTAAAAAAAAACCAAGGGCTATTTTCCTCCTAATTAAAAAAAAAAAGAACGAAATCACTCGTTTTTATGCATACAAAAATCCAAAAGGATTTGTCAATTTCTTTAACAAGAAAAACAAAATTGTACTAATGCAAAAGGAATGAATAAAAATAAATAATGAGACGTGTAAACCATTAAGCAGACAAGATGTAATTAAGAAATGTAATATTATATGTAACCCACCTTCATCTTCACCTTTGCCATGTTTATAAAATCTCTCCTTAAAGCTATACTCAAGGTTAGATCAAAACCTAATTACAATAGCAATAAACACACAATTAATCACAAAATTAAATTCGACCTTTAAAATCAAGAATCGTCACAACACCATCATCATCATGAGTAGCTCCAGCTCTAGCTCTGGCTCTCCTTGTGGTGCTTGTAAGTTCCTTAGGAGGAAATGTGCAAAGGGATGTGTGTTTGCTCCATACTTTTGTCATGAACAAGGAGCTTCACACTTTGCAGCCATCCACAAGGTCTTTGGAGCTAGCAATGCTTCTAAGTTGCTCTCTCATCTTCCCATTAGCGATCGCTGTGAAGCCGCTATTACAATCTCTTATGAAGCTCAAGCTAGGCTTCAAGATCCCATCTATGGCTGCGTTTCTCATATCTTTGCTCTCCAGCAACAGGTACCTTTCAAAACCCTAATCATGATACTTTCACAAAACTATATATATCTACATAAATATATTTATTCACTAGCTATAAATATATTTCGGCAATGATTCTTTTGTAATTAATTAGTAATTTTAAATTTGTTGGGTTATAGGTTGCGAATTTACAAGCAGAACTTGAGATTCTAAAGCAACAAGCAGCACAAAGCATGATTTTTGCTGATTCACCAACATCAGAAAACCCTAATAGTTACTATGGAGACACTACTAAGGCTCCTTGTCATCATGATCTTCAAAATATTTATTATCATCAAGATCAGAGCCATTTGGGTTACCAAACCGGAAGTTCAGGGACGGTTCAACACGGGGATGCCACGGAGAGTAGTTACCACAACGAAACCTCCTCAGGCATCGGAGAATTCTCCATCTACTCTGACTTGGAACAACACTTGAACACTTTCAATCAAGATCATCTCAAAGAGCTGCAATCAGCAAGTTTTGGCTACATCTCCTTCTCGTGATATGGTTCTATCAAGACATGGGTTGATTCTTATCAATATCCGATCTATATACAATATATATAGCTTATATATAATGTTTGAAGATTTTTGATGGTTTTAGTCTAGATGATGATGCCTAGCTCAAAGAACCGGTGTTGTATTCATAAATAAAAAGTACTAGATGCCCTAGAAATATATAAAGATATATATTTACATCCTCAAGATCTTTTTAATGTATATTTCGATAAAATCAAGTTTTTCTTCTCCATATCGTCACAACTTTTATCACGAATTCCTAGCTAGCTCGCTAAACCATGCCTGTCCTGCTGATTCTTTAGATTCTGCTAGTACGTACAGTCTAGTACACCCGACCTGGTTGTGGAATTTCCCTCAATATTGGAGAAAGTCGAGATCGAGTGGATCATTTTTAAGTGAATTATGATCTTGGATATTTTTTTTTCTTTTTTTTTTTTTGTTACATGGTCGAAAATTTACAGTCTTGGGCTGTTGGGCAAATGGGAAAAGTTTAGTTAAGCACCACAAGCTCTTAATTAATTACATTAGCCAGTTCAGATTCTTTTTTTTTTCAAACGAAATGTGTTCTTGAAATGTTTCAAACATAAAGAGGTAAGTACATTTTAAGAGATCCATCGTAGATTTATCTACTTCTATTTAAACGCTAAAAAGATTACTGGACATATATGAGATCCATACTTCTGATTTTGTAGATATGGATCGAATTTAGGGTTCATCTACATGATCACATAATTCACTAAACCCAAACATACTATATAATAATTAATATATATTTTTTGTTATGTGAAAAGTAGTACAGTACATATGAGCATACAATCCACTTAACAACTAGTTTGAACTACTTGACAGAAAAAAATTGAATCTAAAGTACAGCCCCCAATTTATTATTTGGCCACATCTTTTTATATATCAACTAGGTTTAAAATATCACTTGAAAGTGTTTTATCGGTAGTATAGATTTACAAGACAAAAACACGAAAGAAAATGCAATATAAATATTAAAATATGTATGTGAGTGTTTCTTTTTTTGTTTTTATGTGGTCTAGCTACCTAATATGGCAATATTTTTTTTGATGGCAATATCTTTAAGCTAACTCACCGTATTTAAAAGAATTTCCAAGAATAGAATAGACTAGAGTAGAAAAGCATTAAGCCCATTAGGGACATCATGATAATATCTGTACAATTGGACTTTTCTTCTCTAGGCCCAGTAACATTAGAGGTTATTTTGAGTGTAAAGTTTTTCTCCCATGTAAAAAAGACTACAAAATTTAATTTAATTTAATTTGATTATAGAGGCTTATTTCGTAGTTTTTTTTTTTAAATAAGTTTATTTCGTAATTAATATTTAAAATAAGAAATAAGATAAAAATAATAATTTTATCTCAAAAAACATGTGCGGGTCTCACTGTTAAAGCCGCTGAGCGTGTAAAACTGTGAATAGAGTTCGATCGCACGTGTGAGTTTTTACACGGTCAAAGCCAAAGGCTTTGGTTCTACTTCAGAAACTAAAGGGCCCGCGTACGTTGACTCCAGCCGTTTCGCTACTCTTTTGTGATCTTCTTCTTCTTCTTCCTCTTTTTGGTCAAAATCTCCTTTCTTCCTTTTGTTATAAGTTATAACTTCTTTTGAAAACACAAAGCAAGAACCGAGAAAAGGACAAGAAGTCGTGTTCCATTGGTGTCACTAATCAGTTGCGAAATTTGATGACTAATCAACTAGAGAAGCTTCTAGGTGGGAAATTCCAAATTGGATTAGATGAGACTTATCAAAGTTAGCATAAGCAAAACCAATGAAGTGATTTAAAGATAATTAAAGCATTTAGAAGTGACAAAGAACAAAGTAGTTAAGTTGCATCCTGTTTAGGGGACATTATGTCTATAAATACCAATAATTAAGACACTTCTTTATTACAGTTTTTGTTTTAATAAAGATTCTTAAAACTTCTTAATTATAGTTAGGTAAACATGTTCAATCTTTAGCACAGTACTATAACTTTGAATTGAAGTGTGGTCCTCTTATTGTTAAAAACTTTAGACATGAGCAAAGATCATTAACATTCTCATTCCTGGGGTGTTATTTTCTCTGTATATCTTACTCTTCTTATATATAATAGTTTGATTCTAAAGAAACGGTTAAGAAACAAGAAAGTAAAACACAAAGGATTCTCTTTCTTCAACAATGAAAAACTTCCATACCATCAGACAATGTAATCTTAACCTTAAACACAATGAAGAGAGTTATATTTATAAGCGTACATAATGAGTTGTTAAAGTAGCAGTTTCTTCTCTCTCTATAAAAAATGTTTGCTTTCTGCTGAAGTTTGCTTTCTTTTGTCGGTAAATGTTTGATGAAGAATGGTTGAGATTCTTAAGCATTCTTAGTGAACAAGCGGGTCTTGCGTGAAAAAGAACTGCAAAAATGTTTTGATATGTGTCATTACAGAATGGTTGATATGTTTTGATATCAATGTATTTTTACCTCAAACGATTTCCCGGAATTTTCAAATTCCAACATACTCAATGCTACTTCACAGCTTTGTGCAACAATTGGCTCTGGGTCCCTTGAGAATTCTTCTAGCAAAGCAATGCTCTGCTCATCTGAAATGGGCCGAGCAATGTGAAGAGTAAGTACAGACTAAAGACAGTAGATTGTTGTAGTCTCAAGCTATGCATTTTAGGGAAGGTACCTGCAATAGAACCAAGCGCTTCTGCAGCCTCATGTCTAACCATTGGGTGCTCATTCACATCTCTCAGTACTTTGCTTAGAGTAGCTAAAGCAGTTTTATTTTGCAATTGGCCTAAGACATAAGCAACCTAAGAAAAATTGCATTTAATTATAAGGCAGCACTTATACAGTCTAAGGTTGGAGAACAATAAAGCAAAGGTTCAAGGTAGAAGATCTTAACAAAACTCGACTCTTTCAAGTTCATGAACATCTTTGAAGCGTAAATTCTCACTAGGAAACAATGATCAAACTGAATGTTATTAAATAAAGGAAACTTGACAAACCTCGTGACGTAGAAGGGCACTATTAGCACTCAAAGAATCAACTATGGCAGAAACAGCTTCCTCTCCACCATGATTCCTTAGAGCGAAAAGTGCAGCATATCTCTCATACATGCCTTTTGTTTCATCCAAAAGAATTTGCCTGTAGTTGGGTGATCTTAATCAATAATCCGTTACCAAATGGTAAATAATCTAGAGAATTTTTTGAGTTGGTCAAGAGTGGAAGAACCTCAGTTGGTGGACAGAAGAGAAAGAAGCAGCTGGGCCTGCTGGGTCAACAGACATGAAAGGTGATTTCTCTGCGGTTGATGACTGGTTCTCGGCATCAACATTACTCAACTCTTCAATCCTTTTGAGAGCTAATTCACATGTTTCCCGTACCTCTTGAGCTGGATCCGAACTCAAGCTTTTCTTTAAAATGTCAACATTACCCGCCAAACCAATAGCTCCAAGGGCTTCTGCTGCCTGTTATATTAACAGCAAATGAGTGATTTGAAAGGACCAAAAAGCTTATACTGATACAGAGAATCTGAGACAAGGATCAAGTTATACTCAACTCATGTCGTACAATTGGATGCAAAGACATATCATTAAGAACGGACTCAAGAGCAGGAATGGCTTCAGCATCTTGCATTTGACCCAATGCAAAAGCAGCTTCATGTGCTAACAAATTAGATGAGTCTCTGGATGCTGCAGGACAAGGAAAAAATAGATAAACCAGAAGTTAATGCCAGCGCCATGATCAATAGATAGAAATATTCCCTACTAAAACTAAATAAACACGCTCTTGCTCTAAAGAAACCTGAAGTTTCCAGATTCATCAAGCGCTAACATCTTTCCCAAAGTAACAATTTTTTTTTCGGGTACAAGTAGAATTCATATAAGAAAGATAAGATTTTGAGCAGCAGTGATAAAACAAACCGAGGATTAGAGCGTTGCGAGGTCCTGGGCCTTTCAAGTTGCGAAGAGAGAAGAGAGCTCTAAATCGCTCCGAGATCGGTTGCGACTGGTCCACCAATCTCTCGCAGAGAAACTTCTCCAAGTTAACCGTCGATGAAACTGATTCATTAGATTCCATGTTCACTAAATCAGCTTCGTCGGCTTTTGAAAAAATCTGGGGTTCCGATACGAGGACGACGGAGTAAAAGAGCCGACGACTAGGTTTTTTTGTATCCAAAAGAGGAGAGAATCCGATTCGTGAAAAAGAGGGAAAAACGCGGGACCTATTCCGCAAATAACGAAATTTACATTTTGGTCCATAACATGTTATTAATTTGTAATTTGACCCCATAGTTTCTATTATCCATTACTTAGCGTATACACGTGTTGTTGATTCGCTTAAGAACGATAAACACAGAGCTTCTCTTTCGACAAATCAACCGTTTCCTTGCTCAATTTGCGTTCGTTGTTGAAACCATAGACCCAGGTGGTGAATTCTGGAAAACATCTTGAAGCGAAATCGAAAAGCGTTGGAGGTTTAAATCGTTATTCGATTGATCGATGAATCCTAGAAGGTTAGCTCTCCTTGAATGAATTCAAAATCGCTAGTTTCTCCAGCACACCCTTTGTTTAGAATTTGGAGGTCAAGATCTGGCGAAATCTGATGATTAGATGTGTTTTTCATGAGCTCTTTAATTTGTAGATTAGGTTTCATCGGGAAGATCTGAAGAAGCAGTGGATATATATGACTGTTGCTCTGTATTCTGATAGATTTAGATCAGTTCCAAATTCATCTAGTTTAGATTTAGCTTGTAAACTTCATACTCTGGATCTGAAAATGGCTGAATTGAATCATGGAAGATGGTACTGTTTCGTTGCTGAGGTCTAATTTTGATTTCAGGGAGCCGCGTGGTGGTAGAAGTTCTCTCTTTGATGCCATCGAAGAGGGAGGAATTAGAGCTGCTCCTTCTTACTCTCATGAAATCAATGAACATGAGAATGAGCGTGCCTTGGAAGGATTGCAAGATAGAGTCATTCTCTTAAAACGAGTAAGCCTGCCTCTGATTCTTCTGTCATGTTCAAACTCTTAAAATGACATTAGGAATTGGAATAAAGCCATAAACGTAGTAGGAACATACACTTGCAATGCATTTTAAATACTACTTACTCCCTATAGTTTTAGTTTTGAAACCGTGACATAGTTTCACATGTCTTGGTTCAACATTCTTATTGTAGTTGGCCTCTTTTTGCACAACTAGGTTTGAACCAGATTCTTATTTGTTTCTTTTTTCATGAAACAGCTATCTGGCGATATAAACGAAGAGGTCGATACTCATAACCGCATGCTTGACAGAATGGTATTTCCCAGAATTTTGTGATACTTATATCTTGTTATTTGCACACAGACGCTATTGTTACTGAACATTTTGCAAGGTTTTTATGTAGGGCAATGATATGGATTCATCAAGGGGATTTCTCTCAGGAACCATGGACCGGTTTAAAACGGTAAGTCTGAGTAGAAATACGTTCTGCAAAGTGTCTTTGATATGTTTTTTTGTTTTGTTGGTGTGTATGTGTCTTTGATATGTTTAATCGAATCCTTGAAGGTATTTGAGACAAAGTCAAGTCGAAGAATGCTGACGCTCGTGGCATCGTTCGTTGGTTTATTCCTAGTCATATACTATCTTACTCGGTAAAATTGGCAAACCCGGAGTATTCCTGAACATCCATCCATGATCTCATGATATTCCCAGTCTCTCTCTGTTGGCTCCTACGATCTAATTATCCTCAATCTGTGTAATGAATATATGCCTCCAGTGTTATATAGTATGATCCAGTGCTTGGGATGAGGACACAAATTTCATAAAACTTATAAGAAGTTTCATATGTTGGATTTTATAGAGCGTTTTACTTCCTTTATGGATAAATAGCGACGGTTCAGATTTTTGAGCAACCAGGATAAAAGCAATCTAAAGGACCTACAAAATAATAGCATATTGAATATACTTTGATGCACCAGCCGGGAATCGAACCCGGGTCTGTACCGTGGCAGGGTACTATTCTACCACTAGACCACTGGTGCTTGTTTAACGATACTCCGTACAAGAGAAAGATACTAGATACTGTATTATCTCGTTCATGGACCTAAACTAATATACAAACTCTTCTTGGGGATATCGTAACACAGTCTAACAATATTCTCATTCATGGGACTAAAACTGCAGGAAGAATTCAAAACTCATACCTCGCAATGATGCGGACAAAACAAAGCAAATTAGTAATTCTGAAATTGAGCAACAATTGTATTAGTGAAGTAACAAACATGGCTTGTTTATGCATTAACAACATGGAACTTGACATATCTTAATGACCCTACATAGTTATTGCAGCATCTATTCCTGAGAAAAATACAAATTGTAGTTTGAACTAAGTGTAAACACTATAACATTTGCCCTGTGGCACAACAATGGAGTAAAGAGATTATCATAACTCCAAATATCTTGTGAAGAGATCAAGTCGGTGCTTCATCATCAAAAGTAATCTTCGAAACCCCCTTCCTTATCACTGTCGTAGCTCTCAGTTCCTGCAATATTATTGTTCTACAAGATGAGAAGAAGGATGATTCCATTAACAATGTATACCATGTGTAAAATGTTTCTATTAAGGTGGATTTAGAGACTGGTGTAACAAAAAGGAAATGAATAATAAAAAAGTCCAAAAAAGAAAAACACAAATGAATTGCAATCTTTCATGGGATTTTAGTGCTATTACCACTGACCTTTGGCTTCTGTGGTCGATAGATCCTGAACAATGACTTGCAGCTGATTCGGGTTAAAAGTCGAAAAATTGTCTGAAGAAGGAGATGGAGCAGGAAAAGTGAAATCGGAATCACTTGACGAAGCTTCAGAGTTCTCAGAGCTGTCAGCAAGATCATCACGCACAACTGGTGCTGAGGCCATTGTTGAGGCTGACATAGAAGGAGATCTCAAGATGGACTTCAGTTGTGAGAATTGGTCCGACATAGAATATAACAACCTGGAATACACTAAACAAGACTTATCATCAGTAAATGTACGAGATTTATTAATTAATTTTTTTAACTAAGGAGTCAAAATTGTAGGAAGGAAGATAAATCTAAGATAATCTATGGTTGTTATAATTACGAATCAATAATACCTGTTCAAAGAGTCTTGTAACTGGTAAACTCTTCTTTCTGTTTCTTCTAATCTTTTACGTCTTCTCTCCCCAAGCTCTCGGGCTTCAGCACATTTTCTTTCGGAAATGTCAGCTCTTTGTTTCTCAACTTGCAATAAGGCCTGAAGAGTACCACAAATATTCAATTTATCCTCCATGCATTTGATCAAGATGATAGCCGCAATATATTTTGTTCAGGATATAGCGTTGTGTATCAGGTAAATAAATCAGGTGAACAGCTTGAAAATCCGAAGATAATTAGCATGCTGTTTCTAAAATCTGTTCACAATGTTGGTGGATATAGAAACATTACCTTCAGCATCTCAACTTCTGCAGTGAGGGATTCAATTTCTGTATCACGAATAGGATCCGTTATTTGGCTAACAACAGAAAACGTGTTGTAAGGCTTCTCTGAATCGGTAACAAAGGACTTCTGAATTCCATCTTCTACTTGGATGGAATGTTTGGTCTTTCTTTCATGTCCTATCTCTTCATCTTCACTTTGATCTGAATGCACTACAAAGGACTTCTCAATTCCATTATCTGCTTGGATGGAATGTTTTGTCTTTCTTTCATGCCCTATCTCTTCATCATCACTTTGATCTGAATGCATTACATAGGACTTCTCAATTCCATCTTCTGCTTGGATGCAATGTTTGGTCTTTCTTTCATGCCCTATCTCTTCATCATCACTTTGATCTGAATGCATTACAAAGGACTTCTCAATTCCATCTTCTGATTCGATGGAAAGTTTTGTCTTTCTTTCATGTCCCATCTCTTCATCATCACTTTGTTCTGAATGCAATACAAAGGACTTATCAAGTCCATCTTCTGATTCGATAGAAAGTTTTGCCTTTTGTCCATGTCCACTCTCTGCATCATCACTTTGCTCTGAATGCAGTACAAAGGACATATCAACTGCCTCTTCTGCTCTATTAAAAAGTTCCACCTTTCTTTCATTTTCTGTCTCTTCTTTTCTGTCAGCCTATACACATGATTTTATATCAATCAAAACCAAATACTTTTTTCTTTGAATAATTTAAAACACTTGATACTAAAAAAAAACGTGCAGGGATTGGTTTGCAATACCTGCTTTGAGTGTCCCAACTGTTTTCTGGCAATTCTTCCTCTGAGATTACTTTTACAAAGAAGAGAAACTCTTTTCAGTTTCTTGTAGTCAGATATAGCACTGTAACCACGCCAATACGCCTGCAAGTTGATTAGAGTTGAATGTCATTTATAGTTCTTGAGATAGAATGATTCTATGAGAATTTGTTAAGTACGAAAGGGTAATGAGAAAAGGACCTGAATCACAGTTGCTGCCCTAGTCGTTAATTTATAACGGAATTCATGACGTGCAGCTATTGTGCGGACTCCACTTTGCAAGGTGAGTGCGGAAGATTTGGTCTTCCCGTAATCTTTCTTTGCAATCTGTCTACGTAAGTTTTTCTGGATTTTGATGGCAGCTTCCTCCCTTCTCATTTCCTTAGATATCTTTCGTGCAATATTTCCTAAAATATGAAAAATAGACTTTATCAACATTCCTAATTTCCTCTGCATATCAATGAAACCATAACGCCAAAATAAAAATCTAAGGCCCTCACCTCTCCAATTAGCTTGTATATTAACTGAAGCCCTCCGCATGAGAACAAATCGTTCTCTTGTCAGACGAGTTCTAACTTGCCCCTGAATCATCCTCGCTGATTCGCCGAGCACCCTTGTTCTGTGTGCATCTAACTCAGCCATCTGACCAGCTCTCAGGAAAACCTTACTTTTTCCAATCTGCAAATTAGATTTTATATGATCAACACGCACCTAGGGGAGTTATGCTATCTGAGAAACTCAAATTTCATAGAATACTGAAAATTCTACACGTATTCAACTCGAGCAAAATTGGGATTCCTTTTACATTTAGTGAACTTCCTAGGAACCTTACCTGGTAACCTGTAAGCCCTTTTTTCTCCAAAATCCATTTGCATGCAACATCTGCTTCGTACCTGATTACAGTGTAAGGTAAGAAAACTGCGATAAACAGACTCAAGGAGCAATAAAGCAGACAAGAGTGGAAGAAAGGTCCAAGCTTAACGGGTAGAACTGATACATACTCTCCTTTCAGAATTTCCGGTGCAAGAATGAGAAATCGATTTAAAAATTCAATGAAAGTTCTATTTGTTGGATATCCAGCGCATTTCACTCTGATGGCCTCAAGAACACCCTGCATAAGACAAATATCATATAACACCTCAAGACATCAAAGATGTTAATATGAATTATTCAGCAGAAAAACTGACCCCAGAGCGTAACTGATGCAAGACATTGGCATTGTCAAACACTGTTGGTTGCAACAAATTGTTTGGCTTAACACATCTGATGTAGTGGGGTTCCGTAGAGTTCAGTGTCTCCATCAGCTGTTGCAATTGTAGCTGCACCATTTACTTGAACATATCAGTCCGTACAGATGATGAATGTGGCATCAAAATTTCAACAATATCTTATGTGTGGTCCAATAATCCAGTCTTATCTATTAGTTAAAAGTCTTAATGGATTTGCAGGTAAGTCACCTTGAAACGAGCGCCAATTGAAGAAAACTTGGATTTGCTACACTCTTTAGGAAGAGGAGGAAAGAGGCCTGACACAAAAGAACATTTGGAAGCATTTAACAAATCCTGATGCTCGGCAACAACATAGTCTTTGTTTTTGTCTAAAAATTGATCGGACTGGTATTGAACCTGAAAAGAATGGTATGGGAAAGAGACCTTAAAAATCATAACTCTATACTTTTAATTCTTGAAGCAACAGAGTGTGAAATGCAACTTACATCCCCTGCATAATGAACTAATGTAAAATCTGATCGAGTCAATTTTGGTTTCATGAAGCGCTTATGATCCTTGAATGTGTGATACAGCTTCTCAGAAAATGTTTCAGGAGTTGATTTTGGTAGCATGCTGCAGAGAGAATAAATGTTTATAACACATAATAATGGTACTTGGAGAAAATAGTTACTGTGTAAGAAAACACTTAAGTACAGCTGCAAGTGGAGAAGATTTTATTATACCATGCTTCGTCCAGCAGAGCAATAATTCCACCCGGTTTCTGCAAAAGATTGAAATCATATTTTCAGGGAAAAAAAACGTAGCATGAAGCAATGGAAATAACGATACTGCATGTGTTTTCAAGTCAGAACAATGCATAGTGAGCTAAGACATTGGAGCATATTGAAAACAAATAGAACTCTTACATGCTTTCATGAACCTTTCAGAATGTTCTTACAATTTTTAGGAAAAATATCCAACATGGATTTAAGCTACAAATGCATAATAGGTTGAGCTGTAGCCTGTAGGATAATGTATATAGATGATGGCAGAATGCTCTCTAAAGAGGATTTCTACTGTCCAGTGTTTGAATTACCCAAATTGGTCGCAAATATTAAGCCATGAATCCGTGTCTATACAGGGAAGGAAACAGATACTGGATAAAACAAACCTTTTCAATCAGATCCACGACATCTTGATTATCAACAAACTCCACATAGCTCCAATCTATTTCTTCTTTCTGATATTCACCTTGTTCCATTTTGAATACATGCTGTACAATTTTAATAAGTTCAGATTAATTAACAGACTCTTGAGCCAAATCAGCAGCCATAACCTATGACTGACCTCATACCTGATTGAAATGCTGTTGCAACTTTTCATTCGTGTAATTAATACAGAATTGCTCAAAACTGCAAGGATAGTTTTAAGAAGTCAGTGAACAACTGGAGTAGAGGTCAAGTAGGTGATATTATAGATATCTCTTTAGTCATGGAAACTTACAAAAGACATCATTTCCTAAGATCACAATTTTAGCTAATAATATGATTATCATATAAGCCCAGAGTAAAGGTTTCTATTCAATGAACTCTTCATACTAAAGTCAAGGGAAAAGACTAATTGAAAATTCATATATTAGACGATATGACACTTGGTGTGTTTTGACACTTAAGATATCAACCCAAGCATGTGCTTGTAGAGTGAGCCAGGCATGCTCACGGCCATCACCTGTTGGTTTTAAAGCTCTCAAAACCATAGATGTCAAGGACTCCGATCAAGCGCCTAGAGTGAGAATCTTGCCCAATAGAGATATTTATTTTGTTCACCAACCTGGAAAATAGTAATGAGTACTGACTTAGCAGATGTCACCCACAGTGTCATATGGACAAAAGATATTTGAACATTAAAATAGAAAATTTACCAATCAAAGAGTCTAGAGTATATTGTCTTTGCTAAACCATCCCTGCTAACGGCAGCACCAAGAGGATCAAGACTTCTCTTGATAACTTCTTCTGGGGTGACCATCATACGCTTACACAAAGCATCTTCTAAGGAATGGGGATCACACCTAAAATAACAAGTTGTGATTACATGCAGTACAAGAATCAGCATTTAGTTCGAAAAGTAGAAGAGCCGTATATTACATGAGTAGTTCTGATGTCATTTGGAGATGAAACATTGACTGTTCATCTTTTACTGATGATGAATCAGCATCTTCTCCCTTCGAAAATTCAATATTTCCAAGATGGAGGATGGAAGCCACAACTCTGAAAATTGCATCCTGAAGAGACAGAAAAAAGGAAGATAAGTCTGTTCTATTAGCAATCAACAGGTAACAGGCAAATTGCAAACCTGTTCTTTTTCACTTATTCCAACTACATCCATAGCCCTTCTAGTTGCAAGATACTCCTCTGCATCATTTACACCATCAAGTTCGTAGCAGCTAGATTGGTTAAGATAGCGAAATGACTTAGGATCCCCCAACTTAAACCTCTCAACATCCTGCAAATTTTTATATCATCTATCACTTCAATATTCATCCAATAAAAGATGGGAACAACTAAGAAAACCTACCTCAGGAGGAGCAGCACACAGGAGATAAAAGCAGTGATAGTTACGTTCAGGATCTGAAACTTGGCAAACACGTGACCTCTCCAAAAGGTAAGTTCTGATGGCTGCCCCTGATATTCGGCCCACGTCATCAAACTGAATCTCCACAAATTTTCCAAAACGACTGTAACAAGTAAAAGCATTAATATTTATTATTAGCAGTGATAAATCTATTTAACAGCAGGTAAAAGAGACAGGAGGACGAGCAAAGCGAAGGAAGGAGAAACGGAAGCACTCGATAATAAAAGAGCTAAGTTTACCTGGAATTGTTGTTCTTAACTGTCTTCGCATTACCAAATGCCTCAAGAACTGGATTTGACTGTAACATAACCCAATTGGCATAAAGAATTAGACCCAAAACCAAAACAAGAGGGACAAGTGTATCATATAATGAACAAGCTCCGATCTAAGGATGTCCAGGCAGGGGTATATCCCCAGATTGTATACTTAAGAAAAGCTTAACAAACAAAAACATCTTGTTTCCGGAGAAGATTAAAGGGATAGAAAGTCATCGTCATAGCCATGAAATTTCTTTAATTTAGGCGGCAAGGTTACAATCTGACCCCTCGAGTGTAGGAAACTCTGAAATTTTAAATTTATTAGATCATCACAACTTACTTCTAAAACTTGGTTTTCAACTGTCCTTCCTTCAACTGCACTATGTCCACCAAAGTATGCTAGGTAACGCATGAGCATCTTAGTTGTTTCTGTCTTTCCAGACCCACTTTCACCACTGACCAATATACATTTGTTCCTGCCCTCATTAATCATTTCCCTGTTGCAAATTTTGTCAAACTAATTAATTAAACCCACTTCTGCCACTTTTATAGATAACAACAATAAAAATGAACAAATAATCACCTATATGCGATGCCACCAATTGCAAAAACATGAGGATTCAGCTCTTTGAAATAGGCTTCCTTATACTTCTCCATAACCTCAGCATCATAGAGATGGGGGAGTCCTTGAAAGGGATTGACGGCAATAAGAATGTTTCCTGTATAAGTCTGTCATGATGTCAAAATATTATAACAGACTCGCCTATCTCTGCATTAACTAATGGTTTTTACCAATGACCAAGATGAAAATATTTGGTTTACAACCAGAGAAGAAATATTCTTACATAAATTTCATTGAGCTCATATCTGGTTGCCAAGTTGTCAAGAACTGCAGGCTCATGCAGATAAGATAATCTAGTCATGTCCTCTACTCCCTCTGAAGGAGCTTCAGTGTCTTTTGGATAGAGTTTTGATAAGTTAGCAATAACCTGACCAGTAAAAGGAAATGTAAATCAGAAGTATGGAAAGCAAAACAGCACCCTCAAACAGGGAGCAATATGAGCTACAAAAGCATTATATAACTGGAGGAAAAAAAAGTCTCTACCTCTCTGCCATCATTGGTTTTAATCTCTGCTTCGTCTCCCTTTATATTAAGTACAACCCCATCAATCCATGCTCTTTCTGGGTCTTCCACCCAAACATGAGAATCCACCATTATGTTTTCAGCCATTTCTCGAAATCTTCCTAGCATTTCAGCAAACACCACAAGATTTCAGCAGATAGTAAAATATAATCAAACTGTGGAATCCAAGACTATAAAAGGTTATAAAATTGTTGTTTCTCTAAGACCATTCTCGCATTATTGACAAAAGCAAAAAAATCCATGAGCCAAATTTCTCCTTAATGACAAAAGAATCGAAGTAGGCGAAAAGACAAACACCTGTAGCTGTAGCTCCCTCAATCAATCGACGCGTAAAACTTCAGCAACTCCAATCGACGGAGCTATAAGATCTTCTGAGAAGACGGTGATTTCGATATTCGTATAACACCAAAACCGGCGAGGCTCGAATTTCATGGACGTGATCGGTTCCTCTTCCTCTTCTGGGTTCAAACGCAAAAGTGAGAAATGAATTTTGTTTCTCATGGCGTGTGATCGATTTCTGCAGAGAGTGACGCAGAAACTCCCCTTCAATTTCGCCATTCCTGTGGACGCCATTGTCTCTCTCTTTCCCTCCCATTTTTAGCTCAAGGAGCAAAAACACTAGTATCATCATCACCTTAAAGACCCGGACTTTAACCCGACCCGACCCGCCAAAAAAAAAAACCGAATCTGAAAATTTATAACTCTTCCAGAAATTTATATAAAAAAAAATGCAAAATTTCCTTGCCGGGCAAGGTCTGATTGGGTCATAAAGGCTAAAAGCCTAAAAACCCAGCTAAAACCTTGTTCTTCTTCTTCTCTCATGAGCCAGCCCAAGTCTCTGGTGCAGCAGACCATGGTCCTACCGCTTCTGAAGCTAGGAACCCTAGCTCTACGCACTATCTGCAAACCTATCGCTAATCGCCTTAAGAAAGAAGCTGGTGTTAATCCCAAATTCCGTCAATTCATCATCAACATTGCACAGGTATAAAAAAAACAACTCCTTTGGGTTTGATTCTCCTGCAAATAGACAATTTTGTTATGATCATCGATCGAAAAGGAGTAATCTTGTGGTATCTGATTGCATAAGTTTCTGATTTAGGAAGAAGAATCAAGGGTTTATGAAAGCTTTGAAATTGATATATATACTTTGTGGTTCTTGGACAGGCGAATCACAGATTTACGACTAAGTTACAAAGACGTGCTTCTGGTCGTGTAACTGATGCAGTTATTCGCCCTTTGAACGAAGAGAGAGCTGTTCAAGCCGCTGCAGATCTTCTTGGGGAACTCTTCGCCTTCACGGTATCTTAAATCTCATGTCTTTTATAAGATTTTGATTGCTTAAGGACTCAAAGGAGACATTTTTATAGTCATAGATCTTCTAGTTCTGTTTCAATGAAGTTGTTCTGCATCTGCAAGATCCCTGCAATTGAAGTTATTGCATCAATAAGATCACTTGCTCGTCTTGATTAAACTTGTTTTCATCAATTCAATTGGTTCTGAAATATACAAACTCGTTTTTCTTCTTCTTCTTTTCGTCCTTAAGGTTGCAGGAGCTGCTCTTGTCTATGAGGTGCAGAGAAATGCCAGAGGAGAAGCGAAAAAAGAAGAGAAACGACAACAAGAACTAGCTGTGAGCTCTTCTATTCACACATATAACTATGTCTCTAATTGCATCTCTTTGGGATTTTCCACATATCTTGCTTACAAACTCTTGAACGGTCTCTCTTTCTCTGTGCTTATATTTGCTTACCAGGAATTCAGACGTAAACATGAGAAGATGGAGAACGAAATCGAAGAGATGAAACAAAGATGCTGCCTGCTTCATGAAGAGCTTTCTAAGCCGGTTAATAAAGAGCTTTCTAAGCCGCTTAATGCAGAGGTCTCTAAGCCAACAGGATTAGCTTGGCTCTTCAACTACATGTGTTGTCAGAGTGCTGCTGCTGAGAAAGTACAGTAGCAAAGCTAAAAAATAAAAGCCTCAAAGATGGTCTGTTTCTTTGGAAAGCCTTTTAGCTTGACTTGTAGATAGTTTCTATATAACCAGATAGGTTAACTGCAGAAGAGAAGAGATATTGTGTTCGTTTAGACTTGGACCATTCTCTCATAAACCATAATTCCAAATTCTTTCTTACATTGAAAGAGTTCCTGATTTTGACTTTATCAATAACTTCATGTCAATCTTTCTTATTTTAGCCTGTAAGACTTAATAAAACCCAATACATATATAGTTACAAATTACAATAAAAACAACAGAGTGAGAATACTATTCAAACTATTTTCTAATTGTATCAAATAATAATGTACGTAAATAAATTAGATAATCTAAAAGAGATAATAATGATCGAGAGAGATTTTTATGTTACTTTTGAATATTTGTAGTACAAAAATATATGTACTGTGAATTATAATGACAATGGACCCCATATTAACTTCTATACGCAAATGCTCTTTGACTTTTGTAGCACTCACTACTTATATGATTTTTCTTTATTTGTTATCCACACTGAAAGATTGTGAATTTTCTGTTCCATTGTTGTTAAGATTTGGGATTTCAACAAAATCAGAAAAACAAAACGATATAGAAAGTTATTTTGAGATGTGTATATAAAAATAAAATTATTTCAAAAAACATCAAGGTGCAATACCTAATTTAGGAAAACATAAAGGGCTCAACATGCAATTTTCCAAACGCAGTTTAGGGAAGGGGTATAATAGTAAAATCGTTGAATTCAATCCATCAAAAATTCCAACCCTACTGCTACTTACGACACGTCATCTCTCCTCGTAATCGGAGATTTCTCTTCTTCTCGCCACAGCCGCCAATCGGCGCCGCAATTTTCTTCATCGGCCTCCGCTCTTCGTCGACGGTGTTTGCCGTTAATTTCTGTCAAACTCTCAGGATTTGGTTACGTTCAAGACGCCATGACCATTTTCTCAGTTCAGTCCACTATCTTCAGTCGAGCCTCCGTCGTTCTTCTCTCAAGCAATGGCTTCAAACGATTTTCATTCGCTTCTTCGTTTTCTTCCTCCGCCGTTTATTCTCCACCTCTCCCCAAAATGAAAAAGCGTCGGTACCCAATCGTCTCTGCTGTTGATATTGGTGGCGTCACAATCTCTAGAAATGGTTCGTTCTTAGATTTGATTTTTAAAGTGATTTCATTTGACACTTTTTAATACTCTAATGCTGTGTTCATGAATATGCAGATTTGGTGAGAGATGATGATCCAACAAACAATGTACCAGACTCGATTTTCTCTAAACTAGGAATGCAGCTACACCGAAGAGATAAGCATCCCATTGGGATCTTAAAAAATGCTATCTACAATTACTTTGATTCCAATTACTCAAAAAAGTTTGAGAAGTTCGATGACCTTTCTCCAATTGTTACCACAAAGCAAGTAAGTTTTCATTACTCAAGTTTGTATCTTTCTGGAAGTATCACTTGGTAATGTAATTATTATTTGTTTTTTTTTTTTGTTACCAGAACTTTGATGATGTGCTAGTCCCTGCTGATCATGTAAGCAGAAGCCTTAATGACACGTACTATGTAGACTCGCAAACTGTTTTGAGGTGCCACACAAGTGCTCACCAAGCTGAGCTGTTGAGGAAAGGTCATAGTCGTTTTCTTGTTACCGGGGATGTTTACCGTAGAGATTCTATCGATTCTACTCATTATCCGGTTTTCCATCAGGTGTTCGATTCTTGAGGTCCCTGTGTGTTTTTTGACTGTTTTGCTCGACATCATGTCTTTGTTATACTCGATGTTTGATGTGTTTTTATCTATATTACAGATGGAAGGTTTTTGTGTTTTCTCTCCTGAGGACTGGAACGAGTCTGGCAAGGATTCCACTTTGTATGCTGCTGAGGATTTAAAGAAATGTCTTGAGGGATTGGCACGCCACTTATTTGGTACATTGAGATCCATTAAACAATCTAAATTCTTCAGCAAGTGTAAATTACTTGGAACATGGTTTATTAAGAGTTGTTTAGGATAGATATTTCATTAACTTCAGAAGAAGGTTGGGATATATACATGAAATAAATTAATATGAACTTCTCTTTTTGGCTGCCAGGTTCTGTGGAGATGAGATGGGTTGATACATATTTCCCATTTACCAATCCATCTTTTGAGCTTGAGATATATTTTAAGGTAGTCTACTAGTCTTTCATTTTCCTCTCTGATATATTGCATAGCTATGCTTGCTTTGCTTTAAAGAGACATACTTCTATTTTGGTATGCTCTCCTTTTCCCGAAAACATATTGTTGTCATTGGCTAGAAATTATAGCATCTAACACAAACTTCAGTTTCTCGTTTAACACAAGCATTATCTGGTTATCGGTTCAGGAAGACTGGTTGGAGGTTTTGGGCTGTGGGGTGACCGAGCAAGTAATTTTGAAGCAAAGTGGATTAGAAAATAATGTTGCGTGGGCCTTCGGACTTGGACTTGAGAGACTTGCTATGGTTTTGTTTGACATCCCTGATATAAGATTTTTCTGGACATCTGATGAGCGATTCACGTCCCAGGTGATTACTTAGGTGACAACTTTAAAAACTAGGATGATGAGATTAACGTCTAAATTTTTTAGTTCTTTTCTCACATTAATGTATTTGATGTTACATGCAGTTTGGAAAAGGAGAGCTTGGAGTGAAATTCAAGCCATATTCGAAGGTAAACTTTTCTTTCCATCTTCATGTCTCGTAGACTAATGAATTTTAGTTCAAGACCTATTTATCTTGTAAGTTTTAACGATGGCAAACAAAATCTTGTTTTGCAGTATCCTCCTTGTTACAAGGACATCAGTTTCTGGATAAGTGATTCATTCACAGAGAACAACTTTTGTGAAGTAGTCAGAGGAATTGCTGGGGATCTTGTTGAAGAGGTACATACCTTATCCTTTGATTGGTTGGGAGAGAATGCTACTTTTTACAGGAATCGAATTTCCTTTTCAGCTTTACTTTACTTGTATGAGTATCATCACGTTCTTCAGAGTGCCTTTGTTTATAGCCTTTATTATCGCATTCACAGCTGAAGTTAATTGACCAATTCACCAATAAGAAAGGGATGACGAGTCATTGTTACAGAATCGTGTTCCGTTCCATGGAGCGGTCTCTTACGGACGAGGAGGTCAATGATCTGCAGGTAATCATTTTTGCTTTACCTTTCATCATTAACAAGTAAGAAATTCAAAAACCTTTTGTAGCAAAAATCAAAGATAGCATGGGTTGATATATGTTGTTAGTTTAAATGTGTTGAAATGGTGACTTATCAAAATGTAGAGTAAAGTGCGTGATGAGGTGCAGAAGAAGCTAAATGTCGAATTAAGGTGAGAATTTTGAAAAGTAGAGTTGTTGCAGACAATGATGGACCTTTCTGGTTTGACATTGTAATTCCTACATAAAATTTATTTATTTCTGGCAGAATTGCATTACCCTCAAATAAAATATGTGTACATTGTTTTTTGTTATTCTAATGGAAAGAAAATTAAGTTCTGTGGACTTCGCAGATTTTTGTAGCTTTTTACATCTGAATAGTTTGTAGCAAAGTATTTTTAAACAAAATGATCCAACATTACAAGCTACAGCTTTTCTTCAAACTCGTTTCAGCTTTGCCTCCACAAGAGCTCGTTTGACTCAAGCGTTGATTCTATTAAGTGTATTCGCATATGTATAGCTCGAAAACGAAACAAAAAGCTTCCGAAACCTACACAATCGCAAAAAAAAAAAAAAAAACAAAAAAACAGAGATTAATGATTCAGTTCTTATCATTGTTCACATTCATCATGGTCAAAGGTAAGAACATAAATCATATTTGGTGAAGGAGACGTACCAAACCCACTGGCTTAAATGTTGTGCCATTGCTTTGAAGCTTTTCCAAGGCTGCTCGTTTATGATGATTACCTTACTCGGATGTTGTTTGGCGGATAAAATTGACAGCCAAATGTCGACAGGTCCAAAGTACTTGCGAAAGATATTAAGGCTTACCTGATGTACAAAACCTTGTATTCTTTTAGCTGAATCAATTATACAATCGTTCCGAGAAAAAAAAAAAAAGTAAGACTTACGAGTTCCCAAGCTTTGATATTTCTTCCTGAATTAGTCTGCAAGAACTTTCTGCATGTACAACAAAGGGATGAGGAATGATTTTGCGTTTTTTTGACTAAGGGATTGAAAGAAGTCTGACGTACAATACTCCACGATGCACATCTTGGTGATTGCAGTGACCCGAAACACCATAGTTATCGAATGTTATTATCTGAAAACACCACATAGAGAATTAGATGCAGAAATATTTCTGAGTGATATCCTGATGATTGTCTTTAACTACGCGGTAGGAGCCAAGTCATACTGTGTGGATATCGTGATTAGTGACTTCTTCTTGGATGATCTCTTTTAGCAAATCGTGGCTCCATAATTGCCCAAAACCATCCTGCAAGAGAGTAAATAGTATACTCAGTGACCTCAAATGAGATGGTGAATATAAAGATACACATGTACTGGGGAGATTTATAATAGAACTAAACCTGCAAATTAGGATGGTCCAGAATCTTTAATTGTTGACGCGGAATCTGCATCATGTGTTCGATATATATATTAGCAAAAACATGTTCTTCATTGCAATGACAAGAAACATTATCACAGATCCCTTCTATATCAAATAGGATTACCTTCAGAACCGCACATGCTCGATGCAGCTCATCTTTCCTAATGCTTCCCATACCATCAGCGTTACCTGAAACAAAACAAATTCATCTTTACTGTGGAAAAAGAACCTAATCTGCAACTTTAGTAGACATCAATCTCTTGTCTTCAATAAAACTAGAAATTCCTCGATCCCACATCAGCGTAACTGTTGAGATAAATTAGAGATTAAGTTGCTCTAACAAGCTTTCTGGAAAATTAGATAAATCCTTTTACCAATTCCACAACTTTGAAAACGAAAGTAAAACACCAACCTAGAAAGAGTATGATAAGGCATATTACCGGTGGAGAAGCATAATATGTGAAGATTGCAGGCATTGGAAGCTAAGTAATTTATTGTTGGAGAAAAGAACCTGTCAAGAATGTCCACGACTAATCTCTCAGCATAACATAAGAAGAAGAAAAATACTAATCTTTGCCATTTCATTCATTCCAACAAACAGCCAGAGAGATATCTTACATTGACTCATCATCGGGATGTGCGATAACGAACATAACATTTTTCTTCTGAAGGGTTTTACCTGAACTCAAGTACAATAAGATATCAAATTCTGAAGAAAAAAAATGATGAGCATTTGAAAGAAAGAAGCTATTAACCATCTTCCGGCTACTTGCCATCATCAAAAATAGCAGCAGCACTGGAGGTAGATGTTGCTCGGAAGAAAATTTTGCAGAAAGAAGCCACCCATATAGCAATCAGTGAAAGAGAAACCACAAGCCAAGCCATCTGACACCATAAATGATGTTGAATCAATACAAAATTTTCAGCATATTCTGCAGAAATGAAGTTTCCTCTGTAAGAAATCAAGATCATCACATTCGAAAGGAAAGTCTTGTTTTCCCCAATTCCAGATTCATGAGTCCACATTGATAATCATAACAGAAACATTCTCACATTCGGAAGGATCAAGCTAAGGAAAATCAGAGACTGAAACAACAAAACCAAAGAAGAGAATCTACCAAAGCTGGGTTTAGAAGGTAAGAAGAGCTTGATGACGGCGACGAGGCGGCGTTGGAGGCTGATCGCCGGCGAGAATGAGGAAGTAACCGATCGCTGTAATCCGACGGAGAATTTTTCTTATGGAATTATTTGGGTTTCATAGGGCCCAGTTACGGCCCAAATTACCGGGTTGGATCTTCGTCGAAGAAAGACTATCGTATTTACGACTTTGCCACCCTTATACACATAACAAAAAAACTCTAAGATATCACCAACAAATAGTAGTAAAATAGTATAATTCAAAAGAGATCAAGAAAAAACAAAAGGTTAGGTCTATTTAGGGTTTCTTAAGTAAATAGTCGTCACAATTAAATATATTTTTTCGAGTTTCATGAAAACAATAGTAATCAACGATACATCTACTCATAATTTAATTATCTCTGGAAACAAAAACACATTTGTTTGGAAAGTCTATCAGTTGGGCATTGACCAAATTGATTTACCTGATAGCCAGAAATGCAGACGGTCTGACTATACCCTACCACTTAGTCGGAAGGCATTCCAAACTCAGGATAGTCAGAGTGGTAGTCCGTAAGGCCTAACCGTTAACATTTCGGTGCATTCCTACCGTAGCCGACCGGATAGCCGATAGGGTTTATCAAAAAGAAAAAAAAAAAAAAAGCATTTAACGTTGATATTGGGAGGAAAAGTAAAGAAAAATGTTGAGATTACCCAACAAATAAAACTACTAGTATTTAATTTAACCCCTAAAAAAATAAAAATGAAACTATTGTAAGAAAATGATGAGTTCACGAGTAAAAGCCTAAAACGATACTTTTACCTTATTAATTTAAATATAAATATAATTAGGACCATAAAGTATAAAAAAAAATTCCCGACATATCAAACTGCATTCACGTTACTTATGATCCCACCTTATTTATATTCAGTTATATTTTTTTTTTGGCTAAACTTGTAAATATCATTAAAAATGAAGTTAAGGTATTACAAAAGTATTGTAACCTTGTTTTTTATTCATTTATATTTATCATATACAAACTGCCTTTTATTATTATTCTTACAAATCAAGCTTTTTCCAATTCACCAAAACACAGTAACATGCATAATGATTAGTCACAAGTTGAACTATATTAAAATTCGATGCTTTTCTTCTCTTTTTTTATTTATTTCATATGCCTATGGACGCGTAAGTTCCGTATAAATAAATTATCAGTTAGGAATTAAATAAATTTATATGTGTTGTTATCACGAAAACAAATGGTACGATCTATAGCAAAACAGTACTAATAAATAAATTTGTTGTTTTTACCATGTATATTGTCGATGTCAGACGTATAAATCGCAGATTTATTCTAAAATAAACGTGTGATCCATATATATAATGACTACATTATAAAAATTGTGATTTGGTAGTAATTAAATAGAAATTTGGATCGGAACAGATGCAGTCTTGTGATTTGTGACCTTATATGACAGTGAAAACATGTACGAATCGTTACGGAAGATTCTGTATGTTTTTTGTTTTCCAATTTTACGGGCTGGAAATGATTTCCACATTTTTATAAAGTAGAATTTTACCATTATTTTGTTGTTTGGTTTGCTTCTGATCATATGTTTCTAGTATCATTTTAGATGAAAGATTTGCTAAAATGTATTTTGGCTTCAGCAGATAGTCTAAAAATGAGATACTGAAATTGGTTTTGTAATTTAATTACTCTTCAACTAATTAACACCCAAGTTAGCTTCTTCACAATCTGGTGTCATGAAGCCTTAAGCCTAAATTAATTACTAGTTATCCTCTGATAATCTGTCACATTTGATTGGTCTTGTCAGATATTCCGATTCCCAATGCTCAATCATTTTGCTGGTCTCAAGATATTAGTTTTACTAAGCTAAATGCATTTTTCATTTCTCCATAATACTTGGAAATAAGCCTGAGTGAATGTAAAAATAATAATAACTCACTTTAAAAACATATGATCTTCCTAGTCTTAATAGTTGAGAAAATTATGAAAATACGTACGAAAATAGTTTAGGTTTTGTGAATAAATTAGTAAGAGTAAATTATAAACCATAAAGTATCTATATTTCTTCATAAACCTTGCAGGAAATCAAACTCAAATTAAGATTTCAAAAATAAAACATAAACCCTAATTCTTAGTTAACATCAACCCTAGGACTTGATTTCTCGCCCTAAAATCCACACAAAATGGTTAACTTTCTTAGTCTTGACATTTTTTTTTTTAATCTTTTTACTTTATAATTTTTTCTCAATTGTCTCATATTTCTTTGTCAAAGTATTTTCTTATTTTACTGTAAATTAATTTATGTTATCATAAAAAGCAAAAATAAGAATGTTAAAAAAATAAGTATTTGTAAATTATAAACAATAATAATATTTAGAAAAAAAAACGTTACGTACGGACCACAGTATGCATATACATACATATGCACATGTGAAGCAGAATTGGGTGGATTGAGAATGAGAGGAGAAGCACATGGAAGCACACTTGCATGAACATGTTTGTATTCATAGGCAACCACTTTCAATTTTATATAATGACTAATTTGCAACCATTATTAACACTCCTTTTTGTTTTTGGTATATCAAACATTACTACTCCTACTAGATGATTTCTTTTAGTGTACTTTCTGCAGTATTTTTGTATATCTAAAAATTCCTTCTTTTTAATATGTAAACTTTAACCGAGTCATACACGGTTTTTGTTTTTTGATACGATTCCTCTTCAAGTGAACTTGAATTCAGGTATACACTTCAAAATAGACGGTTTTTTGTTTTTTGATACGATTCCGCCCCGCGAAACCCGCTAATTTTCGGGTTAGTATTTCTTGACCCGCATCCGCCCCGCGGGCTCGGGTCATTATTGACAGGCCTACAGTTAACCCACATTTAACTTTTCTTTTTATGTATTTTCCATTTTTACCTTTTGAGCTGAATTATTTGATACCACACTAAATTATCTCTCCTTAGCAAATCATACGGTTATATGACTACATTTTGCCACTACAGTTGATAACTATATTTATTTTCATTTCCGAAGTTTTATTTTCGTTGTACCAAAGCTGCCTTCTTCGTCCAATACTTTCATTAAACTGTTATTTCAGTTTCCATAAATTCTCGTTGAATTCCTTAACCTTCTAGTTTTTTATTTGTTTTTTGCCGGGCTTGTTGTAGAAATTTCGAAGATTGGTCTTATGTAGAAAATTAAAGAGAATATTCTTAGAGTACTTTGCTAGAGGACCACCATTGATGTTTGGATTGTTTGGAGTAAAAATTGTATTAAAATGAATTGTATATTTCATATGAATAGTGAAACAATAGACAGTTGGAACATTAAACTTATATGAAATAATATCACAACGTTAAAATTGTTCTAAAAGATGCATACAATTTTGTTTTAACTACTTATATATTAATCTAAAACATATATAATAGCAAAATATTTTTAATCGAACCAAGCTTTTCTTACATAGTTTTTTATTTTGTCATCCCATTAACAATCTATTTTCGAAAAGTTTGTATTTGTTAGATTTCTCTATTTATCATAACTTTTTTTTATCAATATACAAAGTGAATTTAATCCAATAAATGATCTTCTGTTTTAAAAACAAATGAATCAAATGGATTGGCCTACATGAAGCTTTGGTTTGGGGACAGAGAAAAAAAAAATAGAGAGGGAAAGGTCTCACAAGTCACAAAATATTTATACAAAAAAATAAAAACAAAGCACATGTTCTGACACATGAACATGGTTCCTTCTTCACTTCTCCTTTTCTTTCTAATTAACAGCTCATTTCTCTCTATCTCTCTCCACTCTTCCACTACTCTCAGCCTCCCACTACATTCATTCTTCTCTTTCCATTGCATTTTAAAATGCTTTTTCCCTTATATTAGCATTGCACTGTCATAAATTCCTATGTATATATTACAACTGATAATTGATTTTCTTGCTATTTGATTGTTTATAGTATATATAGAGGGAGAGCTTATATATGTGTACATATAGACAGGCTTCTCTATAACTAAATTGTACATGTGAAGGACAGAAAGAGAAGTGTATTAATTGTATTGGACTATTCTTCTTTGTCATTTGATAAAGTGGCCACTCTTATGCTATCTACTCATTAATGTCCATTACGTATGATGATCTTTCCATTTACATGTATAATTCTGCGTTAAACTAGTTAAACAACAATAAAAGTTGTGTTTACTAGACAACGACTCAAATGAAAACATTTTATAACCAAACATTTGCTCACCTCCATAACAAGTCGAATGTTTCGACAAAACTTATATAGGTTAAATCTTTAAAAGTTAGAAACTAGACTTACAAGTGTTTCATGAATCGATTAGTGGTATACATAGCGTTCACATAGAAAATTCATATGATTTCCATATATTGAAAGAGAGCAAATGAGAGGGAGCATCCGGTAGCATTAGGCCAAGTGTCAACTCGTCGGACGGCCAGAAAACAAGGCGGATGAAATGATCAAACGGCGGAGAAAGGAAGAGAGAAAAGCGGGAGCATGTGGAAGAGAGAAACATAAGAATGTTTCCAAAGGATAAATAAAATAATAGTATCATACACTGTTTTAAAAAGAAAAAGTCTCTCTAATAATATTAGTTTAGCAAAACAAAATTAAGGGAGAAGAGGTTCACTAAGAGCACGTGCTGCCTGATTCTCCATTTGCTCGTAAGAGAGACCTCAAAGCTTGTTTTTATTTTTCTTCCGAAACAGCTGTTTCATAGCTGTCCGATCTCTCTCGCCCCCCATGTGACCCCACTCAGAGATATAAACCCTTTGAGATCGAATCCATTATATAATTTATTTAGCTTTTTCTATTATAAAAATTATCTTATCTCATTCATCCCTCTCTCTATCTCTTACTTCTGTTTTGTATAACTACTCTTTGTTATACATAGCCATTTTAGTTACTCTGGTTTGTTTCTCATCCCATTCTCTCTCTCTCTTTCTCTCTAATGGTTCTTCCTCTGTTTTAGGATTTTGATCATCTAAAATTTTTAATTTCTCTTGATCCTCACTTGAATCTTTTTGTTTCTTTCAAATCTTGATCATTTCCTTTGTTTTTCATCTGCCTTTTTTTTAAAAAAAATCTAGTGTGCCATTAAATCTTATTAATGGCACAACTCCCTCCGAAAATCCCAACCATGACGACGCCAAATTGGCCTGACTTCTCCTCCCAGAAACTCCCTTCCATCGCCGCAACGGCCGCGGCCGCAGCAACCGCCGGACCTCAACAACAAAACCCTTCATGGATGGATGAGTTTCTCGACTTCTCGGCGACTCGCCGTGGGACTCACCGTCGTTCAATAAGCGACTCCATTGCTTTTCTTGAACCACCTTCCTCTGGCGTTGGAAACCACCACTTCGATAGGTTTGACGATGAGCAATTCATGTCCATGTTCAACGACGACGTACACAACAACAATCATCATCATCATCATCACCATCATCACGGCAACAACATCAACGGCAATGTGGGTCCCACGCGTTCTTCCTCCAACACCTCCACGCCGTCCGATCACAATAGCCTTAGCGACGACGAAAATAACAAAGAACAACCACCGTCCGATCAAGATCATCACATGGAAAATAACGTAGCCAATCAAAACAACGCCGCCGGTAACAATTACAACGAACCGGATGAGGTCCAAAGCCAGTGCAAGACGGAGCCACAGGATGGTCCGTCAGCGAATCAAAACTCCGGTGGAAGCTCCGGTAACCGGATTCACGATCCCAAAAGGGTAAAAAGGTAATCCAATCTTTTAATTTACTATTTCCAAAAACCCCAAGGAAGGTCATGCATGCACGTACAGTTTATAATATCTGATAATTCGTATATACCGTTTTTTTTTAAATAGTTAAATTAGTGTCACATCGATAAAATCTAATTTCTGTTTTTGCTGAAATTTTCTACAGAATTTTAGCAAATAGGCAATCAGCACAGAGATCAAGGGTCAGGAAACTGCAGTACATATCAGAGCTTGAACGGAGCGTTACTTCATTGCAGGTAATTTACACACAAATTAAAGTTATATATTTGTTAATGTATAATAATCTTTTTTGATCAAAAATTAAATACTGAATCAACAAATCATTTTTAAATTGTGGAATAAAGACTGAAGTGTCAGTGTTATCGCCAAGAGTTGCGTTTTTGGATCATCAGCGATTGCTTCTCAACGTCGACAATAGTGCTATCAAGCAACGAATCGCAGCTTTGGCCCAAGATAAGATTTTCAAAGACGGTAATTTTCTATTTTGAACTTTTTTTACTTCATTTTTTCCATAATTCTATTAAATTCTTCTGAATATTTTTGTCAGTGATATTATCAAATTATAGAATTTTTTTCTTCTTCTTTTTTTTTATACTATTATTGTCATAGTTTTTCACTTCATGAATTTCATAATCACTGACAATATATAGGCTCGGCCAATAAGTTTTCTTTAGGAATATAAACTATACAAGGAAGTACTTGCGGCAATGCATGATGCTTCATGATTCATATAATTACAAAATTTACATGAAATATATATTGTCTGCTTGAATAGTTTTATTAAGGATATACATCTATAGCTAATTATTTTATTATATGGATATAGCTAGCTAGTGATCATGAATCACAAGATCAATAAAGAGTTTAGTATGATTAATAAGTTAGAACAACTGTCCATGTGTGAACATATGAGATAAGTATATACATGAAACATGTGAGTACTTATTGACAACACTAATTATTGTAAATTTAATATTTTCAGCTCATCAAGAAGCATTGAAGAGAGAAATAGAGAGACTTCGACAAGTATATCATCAACAAAGCCTCAAGAAAATGGAGAATAATGTCTCCGATCAATCTCCGGCCGATATCAAACCGTCTGTTGAGAAGGAGCAGCTCCTCAATGTCTAAAGCTGTTCGTTCATTAAGATCTTATTTCTTCATGGCGAAAAGATTCTTGACTATAAAACCTCTTTGTGTCAGGAAATTAATTTATCAAAGAAGAAACCCTTTTTATTTATTTGATCTAATCACATTTTTTTAAGTTGTGATGAATTTGCTTTTGATGTATCTGATTTTTTGTTTTTTTCTTCGAGTGGGAGGGGGAAAAGTTGGAATGATATGTAAAAAGAACTTAGCTGATTTGTTGTTTATTCAATTTTTTGTTGGAGTGTCTAAGCATTGTGTACTAATTGATATTTTTCTCGAATGTTTTTATTTTCCATCATATTATTGTCATATTTAGGGTAATCGAATAGTTAAAGATTCCTTCTTTTCACATGGTTCAAATTTTGATGTTTGCCATTCATCTAATATAATAAGAAAGTATAACAATAATTTATACTTGTTTCTAGTGACAAAAAGAACAAATATTTGTGAACAATGAATTAACACATATAGTTTCAAGATTAATTTTTGAAGTGACTGAAAGCGATTTCTCGCTCATTCCTTAAAAACTCGTACGAAATTACTAAGAAAAAGCCAATTAGTTATAATGATTTATTAATATATTTTTTGTTAAAAGGATTTCGTAATATGTTCAATCAGGTTTCTTTCAAAAATTTTTTAAAAAAACAAGTGAAAATGTAAGATGTCATATTAGTAGCCAATGTAGCCATTTCCTTACGTAGGGCCTGAACATGTAGATGATGTCATACAGAATCTAGATGATATATCCATATATACACAATTAATACAAACACATCGCGAATATCATAAATGGTGGAATTACAGACAAAAGAAAAAGGATTAATGAGTTTAAATTTATATGAATCAAAAACCTTTATGAGAAATTAGGGTCAAAGTGGGTCAAAATATGAAAATGTGGGGTGAAAAAAGGGAAAGAAAAGGGAGAACGTGGAGACATCTGAAGGCTAAGCTGTAAGTAAGTTCACGTGCTATGTTCCTTGGCCTGGACCACTACGGTCTCGTTGCTACATGATTGGCTTTGTTTCCTCTTCTTTTCTTTTTTTATTTTAATTTTCTTAACAAAGTGTAAATAATGTTTAATCAAGACAGTTTATCTTTTAATTTGTTTTCAAAGTTGAATGAGACAGTCAAAGTTAATATGAAGGAAAGAATAAAGTTACAAGGAAAGCTACAAAGTAGGAAGTTTTAAGAAAATTTAAGAGGATTATAAAAAGAAAATTTGAAGAGGATAAAGTTTTTAAAAGACCAGAGGTTAGTGGTCTTGTGTTGGACCTGTTGGGATATGTAGGAAAGCGAGATGTTGTCAGTTTCAGTGTTTTATAACTTATGTCAGTGCCAATACCATTTCACTCCTCTCATTGATATACAATTTTTATACCAAGTATACTGTAATACTATAAAGAAAATAAATTTACCTTTTCCTTCAATTTTCTCCTCATTATTTATTCTTATATTTTCCTTCCAAAAAATGGTACACTCGACCATTCGTCACAATCGTTATAAGTCTAGATTAACTGAGTTTGGAGCTGTTCATCAGAGTATGTTAACGAATCTCAGAGATGATTAAATGTTTAGTGCTAATTAAGACTTGGCATTGATCACATCACAACCGTTGGTTACATTTCCTAGAAAGAGATAAAAAGAAGAGATTTGATTCGATCATCATTGTCTATCATACAAAATGAGGATGCTAAATTGATGCTTGTTCAAATGAGCTTCATAAGCTTCACCGATCTGCAGAAACCTACAAGCCACAGGGACAAAAAAAAATCGAGACAAATCAGCAATATAGTAATGAAACAAAAAGAAAACAAAACTAATAAGCCGTAGCGGGGAAATTATAAGATTACCAAGTATTAGAATCTTATTAGTTGAAACATTCCGAGTCATTACAAAATGTCTACTCATCTATTAAAATCGATTTTCTCGCTTGTGTACCTCACTCTCACTACTCATATGATGTACTCGGACATCACCATAATATTGATTTTTGAACACGTAAAGAGTAGATTCAAGATTCCTCTATAATGAATGTAGGGAGCGAATAAAACGTTCTAGTCCCCAATTCAACGAACCAGGGTAAAGTTATGCTGTAATTTTCAATAAAGGAGAGTGAAGTACCTTTAGAGCATCTCAAGTTTCTTCTGTAGTTTCTTCTATAGCAGCAGCAACTTCAGATGTCTCATGATTCTTGCTTTCCGAAAGTGTTTCTCTCAATATCTTCACTTCATTTTCATTCTCGATGAATCTCTCGTTTAGCAATTCTACTGTCTCCATGTGTTCTCCAAATTTATTAAGCCACTGACTTTCAAAGTCCTCAATCTGTCTTTCTACTAGAGTTCGTGTCATTCTATCTTCCTCTTCTTGCTTCAATCTCAGCTTTTCAATTTCAGTAGTGCACAGGACTAAACCTCCAGAACCTTTGACATCCTTGTAGACCGGTTTCTCATCACGCAAAGGGCAACGTTTTCTGTGCTCTCTTGATGCCTTTTGTGTTTCTTTCAAAGCCTTCCTATAACCCTCTACTACACTTGTCATCATACGAAGCTCACTTTCAAGCTTATAGATCATCATATCTTTTCTCTGTTGCTCCTCAAACTTGGTTCTTTCCAATTCCTGAATCATTGCTGCCTTGCTTTGAAGTTCGTTCATCAGATACTGCTGGTTCATAACAGATTGTTCACGCTCTCGGTCTTTTTCAGCATTTGATAATCTAGTTTTTTCAACCCAGTACACCATCTGATCCAAACACATGTCAACTGGGGGTGGTTTTTCATCCCAAGAAGGTTCTGCGGTCCTCAACCTCTTATTGCCGGGGTTATGAGAATGATAAGAAATATGATTCTCGTGTTCAATCTCCCTCTTGTTATTGCCATTCCCGAACAGAGAAGAACTACCTGAACCCATAGTCATATGCATGTCAACCCTAGAAGCAAGGAAATCACCACCAATTGAATTGCCATGAATTTGTAACCCAGAGTTATAACCTAACGGAGATGCATCCCCCAACATGAGATTCTCTTGGCCAACTCCCTGAAGGGAATCGCCATTTGGAAAAAAAGGAAACCCCTCTTCATGCTTTTCTGTATCTTCCTCATCCTCTTCCCCGACATCATCAATTGGCTCATCTTCTCCCATTTCCATGGATCCTTCAATATGATTATCTTCGTCCCCCTCCCTAGCACTACTAAGATTGCAACGGCGAAGGAAATGAGAACCAGCATGAGTGTCTTCATTCCATGCCCACCTTTCATCCTCTTCTTTCTTATTTTCCTCAACATCCATTGGCTGTCCCTCAACAGGACCTCGCTCTTCCCCAGAGACCATTTCTGACACAGTCTCTTGCCCGAGATTCAATTCGATCATATGTTCTTCCACATACTTGTCTTCTTTCGAGTCGATGGCACCATCATCCTTTCCTGAATCTGCAGCACCAACATCTTCTTCCTTAACCTCCAAACAATCTTCTTTCGGAGATTTTACCATAAAATCAACCTCCTTTACATCGTCGTCGTCATCATCATCATCCCCCTCATCATCCGCTTTACATTTTTCCTTTAGTAAATCTTCTTTCTGTGTTTTGATCAACAGCTGCAGATGAGAAGCAAAAAAACAATCACCAAGCAAAGGCTCCGCTTTCAGTTCTTTCTCAACCATGAACCAGAGCAATTTAGGCCAGTCTAACTTTTCCAAATGCTTTTGCTTTATATCCCTTGTCCATTCAACAATCTCTACAGGCATAATCCACATATCATCTCTCTGCAGTAGAACCCAAGTTGAAAGAATCTCATCAATAAACCGAACAGATTCATCGTTTTCCAGAAGTTCTCTCTCCTCCTCTGTAACAACAAAGTCTTTCTTCTTAGGCAACTTCAACGCTCGAGCCAAATCAGCACGGCTGACGTTGATCCTAGCCCCATTAACATAGCTGCATCGACCCTCAGAATTGTAATACGCAACAAGGTTCGCTACTAGATCCTGACGGATATTTTGATCAAACTCCAAATGCACAAAATCCCACAGACCTAACGTCTTCAAGAGCTTCTCATGCCGAGCAAAATCTAGGGTTTTACATGGAACGAAAGCAATGGGCTTCAAAGTTTTCAAAAGTACCTCAAGCTTCTCTTTTGACTTCTCTTGCTGCTTTCGTTTCTTCTGAATCCCTTTCTTCCGCTTCGGTCCACCTCCACGGCGGTAATAAGAAGAGCTTACGGCTTGCGTCGCGTCCATATCGTCCTCTTCGTTCCTACTTTCCTCAATCGAAGCTTCTAACTGCTGATCTCTACCGTCGGATTCCTCCGGATCCTGCAGATTCTGTGTTTCTTCGTCCTGTGTTGATTCTAGATTTAGGGCTTTGTTAGGGACGGAATTCGCATTCTCCAATGAAATACTTCCTTGCTCTACTAAACTCGGTTTCTCAATTAAACTAGGGTTCCCAGAAAGAGCTTCTGCATCTCGATCGGTGGGATCTGACGGCGGAGAAGAAGCCATGGCTGATGATTTTCTCCTCGGAAAAGCTAAACTGAGTCAATTCATCGGTCGTGAGACCAGAAGCCTTTCTGAAAGGAAATTAACCAATCACAAAGAGCCACGTCATCAATCCGAGTACTTAGTTTATATTGGCCGGTGCCCCAAACACTCATTCACCTTTATTTAATGGGCCGACATAGAGGCCCAATTAGGCGCTTAAATCCAAGAAATTACAGTATACACCCGAATATTTCTCTGTTTTCACGAAAACAGTCCAAAATAGTCTCGAGTCTCTTCAGATTCTCTCTCGTCACTGTTAGATCTTCCATTTTCTCCGATACCTTTAACGGTAACTTTCTGGTGCTCACTTCCAAGTTCCAAATCAGCGGTTATAAAAAAAATATCCCTAGAAACCTTCTTCGCGACACTACTTTGGTTGATCTTCTCTCTCTGAGGAAATAATTATGTATCTCTCTCGTCTCTCTCTTCTCGCTGCGACGACGGCGATGTTAATGGTGGTTGCGACTGCGCAGATCGGAGGTCAAGTGTTGCAAGTGGAGTTATGGTGTGTGGCGAAGAACAACGCGGAAGATTCGTCGCTCCAGACCGCGATTGAGTGGGCTTGTGGTCAAGGCGGCGCTGATTGTGGTCCGATTCAGCAAGGTGGACCTTGTAACGACCCGACGGATGTTCAGAAAATGGCGTCGTTTGTTTTCAACAATTATTATCTGAAGAACGGCGAGGAGGACGAGGCTTGCAATTTCAACAATAACGCTGCTCTTACTTCACTCAATCCCAGTATAGCCTTCTTCTGAAATCCAAATCTTATATCAATTAGGGTAGTGGAATCAGGATTATAATGATGATCTCTTGTTTTGAATTCAATTTTTAGATTCAGATTTGATACATTTGTGCATCTTGTTGAAGTAATTTCCCCCCCAATTTTTGTGTGTTTCAGGTCAGGGAACTTGCAAATACCCTTCGAGGTAATCAATTTCAAACTATCTTTGAGCAATTTAGATCGATATGAGAGATCGTTTTGTGATTTGAATTTTTTCAATATCAGTTTCCTTAATAAGAGCTAATCTTGTATTGGTAAGAAGGAAGTTACTTCATTTCCATGGAGAATGGATTTGGTTCTTAGATTGTTCAATACATGATGAACATGAATGGATGCCTTTGGTTATACTTATGTGATTCTCTGTGTTGCTTTGTTCACTGATGAGGATTCACATCTCTATAACTTATCTCAACAATACTCTTGAAAAGCTCATGATGTGCTGCAGTAAGGGAGTCAACAATGGTCGAGTAGCGGATGCCACTTCAACGGGTGCAGGACAAGCAGATATGAGCCGTGGTGGCAGACCGATTTGCAACAGTTGGATTGTGACCTTCATCGGTTTCAGCAGCTTATTGACGATGACACGGATAATTCATCATCTTTAGGCTTACACGCACGGGCTCATTGATGATGAGAAGGATACTATTTTGATCTCTCCCAGTTTACCTTTGAAGAGAAGCCTAATATCTAATTTTTTTTTGTCTGGCATTTTGATTTTTTATAATCCATCCCACTGTGAGTGATTGAACATGTTTTGATTGCTTCTCTGGGAATTCGTAGTGATATTTCTTTCTCTCAACGAACGGATAATGATGTAATGATGTCATGTCATCAACCATAATTGGTTAATAGACATATAATGAGAAAGAGTGCTACGTAGTTTAAAAGGAATTTACCTGAGGGGGTGTGTGATTGACCACGATTGCGGGAGATTCAACAAGGTCATCCGTATCGCAGATGGATGCTGCTGTACCAAGATACTCCTTATGCGCTTTTTCTAGTGAAACAATATATAACCTCAGATCAAGGATATATACAGAAGATATAGTAAAAGAGAAAGAGTGTTAGAGAGTAATTATCAAAAAAATAAAATAAAAAGGTGTTAGAGAGTATATACATTACAGTTAAGTTTTTTATTTGAAACTTTGGCTTTTCTTTCATTATTGTAAGTTTGTAGTAAAATCAAAAACGGTAGTAGTTGGTTAGATGATTTCATTTTCAATTTCTTATAGAAAATCTGTATTTGTCTTTTTTATTAGCTTTAAATTTTCCGTAAATATAGATTTAAAGTTCAAAAATCGAATAAAAGAAAATAAAATTGGGTCTGGTTGGCAAAAGATTTAGTCGATCCCGAATAAAGTTGTTGGCGTTGCCAAACAAAGCGTCTGTCTTTTATCTAGTGAAAACCTCCCGCATCCGTCGCCGCCGTACACTCGACACGAATAACGGTTGCCAAATCTCTTCCATCCTATTCGCCGAGCGACTATATTCGACTGATATTGGTGAGCCTTTTCTCGTATTCTTTTTGATGTATGGTTTATGTGTGAACTGGACTTGCGGACGTCGGGGAATTAGGGTTTTTTCTGCTACCCAAATGCTGAAAATGTCGAGGATAATTTCACCATTCTCGTATAAGATTTAGGATTTTATTCTGGGAATCTTATCGCATATCAATATAAATCGTTTCTTTTCGTTCAATTTTGGATCCGATTATCGTATCTGCTGCGAATGATTTTCCTTAATTTTGGTTCTGTGTCTGTTAGTTTATTGGTTGATCACCAGGTTTATCGTTTCTAAAATCTATCGAACTATGAAAGATGCACTTGGTTCAAGAGATTCAGTGATTGAACTTTTGAATCTTGACTTCTGTTGTTGACTCTGTAAGCTTTCTCTACACGTTGTTGCAGAAGATAGCTCAAAAATGGAGAACACTGGGAGCATTAAGCAAGAAGCACCGTCTCTTCCTCCGGGGATCTTCGAGATACCGGGGGAGCCTGCGGTTGTTATCAATGGTGTGCCTGATGAACCGCAAACAGATTGTATGATTGCCAAAGATGAACCAATATCAAGTGGCACTGTAGGAAGCGGCGAATGGCTTGTGGGTAGAGAAGTTCGGAAGTTTTTTTTGGGTCACTACTATTCTGGTATGGTGACAAAGTTCGATAAACAATCGGGATGGTACAGAGTTGAATATGAAGATGGGGATTCTGAAGATCTTGACTGGTCTGAGCTAGAAGAGGTGCTTCTTCCTTTGGATGTTACTGTGCCACTGAGGTCAATCTCATTGCAGATCATCAAGAATCGACAAATACATGCCCAAACTTATGGATACACGCCACAACGCTAGACCAAGAACTCCAACACAAAAGGGTCGGCTTATTGCGCAGAGTCAATATGGTGAAGCAGGACAGAAAGGTTACACTCTTATGCCTTCAAATTGGAAACATTTGAATAGTCTTTTGAAAATATCATCGCTTGAGTATACGGTATTGGAAGACTAGTGGAATAATGGAATAGTAGTCAGTAGATACATTATAGATGAAAACTTTTTTTGTACGATTATCAAAATTGCTAAACCAATTTTAGTAGATAAATTTCGTTTCGTTTAAAATAGTCATATTTTCAAAATGAGTTTGACATATACGTGTCTCCAACTTTTTCTATTTCTTATATACAACATGTCTCTGACTTGATTCTATTCAAAAAACAAATTATCTTTCACTTAATTCAAACCTTAATAGACTCGTTCCAAGACAGATGTAGAGGTTGCTTGTTGCACGACTCCTCGCTGTGATTCGTCAAGCAAATTAATTATTTATACACTCAAATTATAACCCTGTTTGTGTATAAATGATGCAAGCACAACCACAAAAATGCAATCGCAGAGCAACGACCATCTTCCCAATGGCTAGCCTTCTTCTTCCTCTGTTCTCAGCTCTTCTTTTTGCGGCCACCATTACAGAATCCGAAGCTTACTCAACAACAGTGAAGGCACCGTATCCAGGATATAAACCGGAGAAGCTAACCCACCTACACTTCTACTTCCACGACATTATCTCCGGGAACAAACCAACCGCCGTCCCAGTTGCTAGGGGTCCTGCAACAAACTCCTCTGCAACCAGCTTCGCTTTGGTTGCAATCGCTGACGATCCATTGACGATTGGGCCTGAAATAACCTCAGAGGAGATCGGGAGAGCCCAAGGGATGTATGCATCGGCCGACCAGAATAACTTTGGTCTGCTTATGGCTTTTAACTTGGTTTTCACCAAGGGTGAATTTTCCGGCAGCACCGCGTCGATGTATGGCCGGAATCCGATATTGTCGAAGCTGAGAGAGTTTCCAATCATCGGAGGTACGGGAGCATTCAGGTTCGCAAGAGGATATGCACAAGCCAAGACTTTTGTGTTCAATATTACCAGTGGAGATGCTGTTGTCGAGTATAATGTCTATATCTGGCATTAATTATTGGTTTTCATCACTTTTTGTTGAAAACCAAAAGAAATAAAAACTGGTGGAAAAAATGTTTTTTTGTTTTTGTTTTTGTTGAATTGATATTGTGATTTTGGTGTAATTTTTATTGTATTGTTATAAAATTTCATCACTTGAGTACATTAGATGACATCATGGAATAGTTAAACACTAGAGATCAGATAACTTATAGCTTGGTAATCACAAAATGATAAAAACCAATTCTGGTAGATGAACTACGTTTTGTTTTTCAATGTGCAACAAACGTGTCTCTGACTTTCCCTCTCATTTTATAAATCATTATCTCTCTCTTAATTCTTTTCAATTTTTTCAATTTTTTTATATTTCACTAAACTATCATATTCCTTGAATAATTCCAAAGATTATGATCCACGTACATGAATGGAGATTCGTTTGTTAGCACGTCGCCTCGCTAGCTGTGATTAACGAAGAAAAATCTATTATTTATTCAGTTGTTCTTCAATCAATAATTCTGTTTTGTGTATAAATTATGCAAACACTTCCGCAAAAACGCAAAACACATTTTTTTCACACAGCCTGAAAAATCAGTTGACTTTGTAGAGCAACAACCATCTTCCCAATGGCTAGCCTTCTTCTTACTCTGTTCTCAGCTCTTCTTTTTGCGGCCACCATTACAGAATCCGTAGCTTACTCAACAACAGTGAAGGCACCGTATCCAGGACATAAACCGGAGAAGCTAACCCACCTACACTTCTACTTACATGACGTTGTCTCCGCAAAGAAACCAACCTCCGTCGTAGTCGCTACGAGTCCCACAACAAACTCCTCTGCAACCGCTTTCGGTATGGTTGCAGTGGTTGACGACATATTGACGGTGGGGCCTGAAATTAGCTCAGAGGAAGTTGGGAGAGCCCAAGGAATTTTTGCAGCGACCGACCAGAATAAGTTTAGTCTGCTTATGGCTTTCAACTTGGTTTTCACCAAGGGTGAATTTTCGGGCAGCACGGGGTCGATGTATGGCCGGAATCCGATAATGTCAAAGGTGAGAGAGATGCCGATCATCGGAGGTACGGGAGCTTTTAGGTTTGGTAGAGGATATGCGCAGGCCAAGACTTTTACGTTCAATACTACCAGTGGAAATGCTGTGGTCGAGTATAATGTCTATATCTGGCATTAATTATTATTGACTCCCTAGTGCTTTTCCATTTTTACGTGACAAAAGGAACGTTTTGGTTGAATACAAAAATAAATGAATGGTTAGTGGAATAAATGGTTTTTTTGCTGTTGAATTGATATTGTGATTTTGATGTATTTTATTGTAAGAAACTGTGGTAAAAAGTTGTATTTTATGTGGCGAATTGTTGTGAAGTTATAATCTATTGTGTTTCAAAACGATATCAACTAATGATACTTCACCAGTTTCATGTAGTTTAACTTTTAAGGTTTTCCACACATTAAACTTTTTGTTTAACAAAACCTAATTAATATACCTTTATCATATGAATAAGTGGTAGTTGTTTCATTTATATATGTAATATGTTAACTCCAGCTAACCGGTAGAAGCTAGAAAGAAAATGCTACGCATATTTTGCATTACGACAAACAAATGTTTTTCTAAAAGACTAAAACATCAATTATTACAAAGAGACAGCAGTATATATTAAAATAATTACTTTTTTAGTACAATGTTGCGTCAAAAAATTGCTTATCAACGAGTTTTGGGATTTATGAAAACGCAATTGCGGATCTCCCTCAGACTTCAGAGTTGTGTGACTTGTGACCGTTATTGATCAACCTTCTATGGCCGAGTAGAGCATGCATTGTGGTAATAAAATTTGATGGATTGTCATTAATTTTATTGGGCTTATGCCCATTAAATCTGATCTATTAAAAAGCCCATTGACTAAAATCTAAGGAAACGCTAATGTCTTGCGGAGCGCTTCTGAAGAGTCACGGATACAAATTGTTCAATTTGGACTTCTTTTTTTTTTCCTAGGATTATTTTCAATTTTAAGATTTTTTTTACTTTTGTTTATTTTATATTTCTAGATCATTAAAAAAATTGGGTTATCGTCGAATGGGACCAGTATATCGAATCGATTTAAAATAATTTTTACGTTGACGTTATGAAAAAACTGGAGTTAACCGTAATTTATGTCCAGTGTCTACTATTACTAACAAAATTTAAAACCAACAAGAGAATGATAAAGAAAACAAATGAAATTGACAAGAGGTCGGGAGACATGTACGACATCATAATATCTAGAGAAAGCTCCCCCACATACATGTAACATCGTTAATGCAATATTGAAAAGATGCTCTCTTCCAGCGGATGTAGGAAATAATTTTACCCGTGGCAATAATATTAACCTTAAAAAAAATCGTTTCTTACAAATCCCATAAAAAATACGAACAAAAAATAATACTTTACGAAAGTAACCCACGATCACTCATAAATCGAAATCTTCTTATCACTTTTCACATTAGTGACAAATCCAAATAAATCTTTGTCAACATAACATACGAAGCAATCACTTAAAATTGGTTTCCAATTCAGCTCTTTCTAAGCCAAGACACTAAATCCAATTATAATGATCATCATGGTTGTCTTGGATTTTTAATTCTATATTACACATTATATATGTTTATAAATTGTAAATTTGTAAGACAAATCATTTTTGGTTTACTTCTAAACATAAACCGAATTCTCAGAGATTTGATATACAAAAATACATAAAACAATGTTCTAAACTTAAAAGTAAAAAAAAAAAAAGAGAGATTGGAGTAAGAGAAAATAATAAAAATTTAATGAAAGAGAAATAAAACATAGAATAGAAACGTATGTATAGAAAAAAATAAAGTTATGGGGGCATTAAGTAATATATTAACAGGGACAAAATTAAAAAATGTTACAAAATAACATTAATTTTTGAAAAATTGACAGTGGCAACTGCCCCTCTATAATATCATGTGGCTCCGCCCTTGCTCTCTCCATTTATAATAATTATTTTTAAATCGTGGTCCATACAAAATGTTTTTCATAAAATAAAACTCATCTAGCTTCCAGACAAAAACAATATTTATTTTCAACCCACTAAAATGATAGTAGAATGATTTTGTTCAAGTGAAGAAGGCTAATATTTTATAAGCATCATTTTCTAAAATTGTAAAACATTGTGATGAAAGTATACGTTATATTAGGATCTTCGTCTAGTTTCGATAATGGTATCTTCATAATATTATGTATATTAACATTGATTGTGTATAACTGTATATAGAGGTAGAATTAATCTAGAGTGTTTTAAGTTTAACTATGAAAAGACATTGGTGGGCTCATGTTCTTTACCTTCACTTACTAGGCCTGGGCGTTCGGATATTCGGGTCGGGTTTTTCGGGTTCGGGTTTTTCGGGTATAGAAAACTAAGATCCGTTCGGGTATTTTAAAACTTCGGGTTCGGGTCGGGTTCGGATCGGATATTTCGGGTTCGGATTCGGGTTTACCCGAAGTATCAAAATATTAAAAATTTTGTATTCGACTCTTTGCAAAGTATTGAAAAATACTCAAAAATCTATAAAACCCAAGTATTTTTTAACCGAATCTAGCCAAAAGTAACAAAACACCCAAAAATTCTTAACATCCAAATAATTTAGGCACTTAAGTTTTTACAAGTATAAATATTACTAATATATTATAACTATGTACTTATATTTCGGGTATGTTCGGGTACTTGTTCGGGTTAGGGTTCATGTCGGGTTCGGGTTCGGATTTTTGGGTTGTGAAGTTTAGAACCCGTTCGGGTATTTTAAAACTTCGGGTTCGGATTCGGATCGGGTTTTCGGGTCGGGTTCGGTTCGGTTCTTCGGGTTCGGGTAATATGCCCAAGCCTATCACTTACATTGTTGTATAATTTTGTTTTTGTTTTTATTGCTGTTTTTAATCTGCTAAAAAGCATTTAGCACCATAAAGTAATCTTGGTTTCATGGCTACATGCTATGAAAGGGACACGATATGTTTAGCTAAAATCTTGCATGTACGTACAATACAGAGCTGTTACTTAATAATGATTTAATGTATTGCAGTTATAAGCTAACATAGTCCGGTCCGTTCATGATAGCTGGTCATGCAGACCGGGCTTGCATTACATATAATTTACTTCTCTGACTAGATTGGATCTACGAGATCAAGTAATGTTTTAAATGTTTGGATATTGGAGATACAATTAATCTTGTATGTATACCATAATATATATATATATATAGGATTATACCATTTTGATACCATATATAGTTTTTTGCATGGAGAATTTCATCTCTATTAGCACATGTCTTTTCAATTTAATTTTGAAAGAAATTAAATAGATGAGTAATGTATGAAAAGGTATAGATAGATAATAGATTATAGATAGATGGATGGATGAAAGAAGAGCAGTGGTCCAAGTGGAGGAGTTGCATCTAAGAAAAGGAGGAAAGGAAGCAGAGAAAGTGAGAGGTATTATAAAAAAAAAAAGAAAGAAAGTGAGAGGTAATGGTCCCTTCACCAAAAGCCATTTAATCTCTGAAGCATATATGACTATGACTTTAATGGCAAAGCCAAGGTGTTTGTAACCAAGTGTTTGCTGTTAGGGTTTCTGAGACTTTGTGGGCTTTTAAGGCCTTGTGGGGTTCAACTCCATTCACGGGGCCCCCCTTTGTGTGATTTGTTTGATTTATAAATTTATATGTTGTTGTTTTTTTCGTCGGTTTGTCTGAAAATGTGTTATTCCTATAGTATTTATAGTAGCCTAATCTATAAATGATGGTCTTTTTCTTCCATCTAAATTTTCGTTAAGATATTTTGGATGGAATAGAAAACCGACGGATGTAGAAAACAATCTAGAAAGATAAATGATGGTCGCAAAAGAGAAAACAATTAATTAACTTTAAAAGTTTTCAGTTATGTAATTAAATAATGTTAAGTTTATATTAATGGCTAGACTAATTAATTTAATGCCAAAAGTTTATTAAAATTAGAAACTGAAAAACTAAACAAAACTTTTAGATGATCACCCAACAAACTAAAAAGTACGTGATATATGTAATAATGTCAAATATAACCAATGTTGTGTTGGCCCAATGGTAAATCTCCTAGGTGGAGCTACTGGGTTCGATGCGCGTTGGGAGGGATTTCTTCTCCAAATGAGATGAATTTAATCTGGTGTGGATCCCGTCTCTAGGAAATGTAGGGCCTTCGAAATTGAACTTCCAGATATTAAAAAAAAAAAAAAAAAACAATGTCTAATATAATGCTTCAAGAGATAATTCAGTTTGATTATAATGCCATAGTACATAAAAGTGACTAGACCTTTAAAAGCTCTAGACTAAAACCTTATTCAATCTCTTCACCGACATGGCTCATCTTAGTCTACCTCACATTAATATAAAGGAACACTGTTATTTACGATTCTGTTCATCAGCTAAAGTCCACCGAGATACTTTCTATGCGCGCAGCTAATACATGAATCACACAATCCATCAGATCTATGCAAACAAATTGTGTTTTTTGGTTCTCTTGAAATTTTATTTAGCATACATTTTGATATGGTTTGCTAAGAGTTACTAGCAATCTTCTCTTGTCTTCATGCTTGGGCTCTCGCTGTAGACTAAATTGGCGCATTATATTTGTTTTATATACAGTATTTTATTATTATGTATTTTAATGATATAGACTACCGACGGAAACTTATATAGTTCAATTGGATATCTAAACCGAGACTTAAATTTGTTTTATATATGCAGATTAAATATTTTTTAAATTAAAGTTGCTTTATTTTCTTTATGTCATCATTCACGGAAACTTAATTACTAACTCAGATTAGTTTAAAACTTTTTTTTTTTTGCTAAATGAGTAAATATCATATAAATGAAAAGTTAGGATTTACATGTTGATTACCTAAGACACTACTAGTTCCTTGGCAAAAGATAAAACTAGTTAGTTTAGTTTAAAACTTAAAATTTTTATAGAAGTTTTATGTATATAGTTTGATGATTTTAATACATGACGATGATAACAACACACAAAGACTTTCAATTTATTGATGACATCAACACTGATTGAACAGCATGTAAGGACCACTTCTCTCAACTGTCTCACAAAAAAAATTGTGCTTCACATACGTTTTTAGTGGCTAGACAGTAGACAACTCGAATTTTTATCGATTCCAGAAATTAGTCTAGACTTCGGTCTGGAATTCTCCTGATTAACAAAAAAGAGAGAGAGAGATGAAAGAAGTAAAAGCTGGTTCTTAAAAGAGAATTCTCTACGACCTATAAATAGTAACATCCGGGTACATGTAAGCAAATATGTGTTCAGAGAGTGGTACACACCTACCTTCACGTACGTTCGTAATGAACCCATTTCCCTGATAACTTGCACCTAGTTTTTGTTTTTTCCTTTTTCTTAGTTACTTATCATAAATTTACCATGACCCATTTTCTGCTCCATAAGTGTTGTATCCGTTTCATTAATTCTCGGGATATTATATTTTTTTGAAATTATATTGTTTTTTATAAAAAAAGTTATTTTTCTTGAAAAATAAGTTAAAACAGGAGGAGACGTGTCTTTCATTTTAGAACAAACGTTGTCCAGGAGTTTTCAAAGAGCGACGATATCACAAAATTTGTTTCATTTGTGGATTAATGTTACTTTATGATAATATTAACCCCTGTTTTAAAAATCTCCGCCTACCCCGATTACTCTCCGCTTAATCGCTAGGCCACTCTGTCCGCCTCGATTAATGACTAATCCCTTAAAAAAATTAGTCACCCTATTACTCTCCGCCTAATCCGATTATTTTCCGCCTATTCTTACATATCCCGATTATTTTTTGATTGCAAGTATAAAATAACTTTTTTTTTATTTAAACATTTGAATTGGAAGTTTGTGATGTTTTACAATAATTTATGTTCAAATTTTTAACAAGTCATAATTTTTAATCAAAAAATCATAAAAATTTGCCTTAAAATATATATTTTATGTGTTTACTACAATTTTGAAAACAATATTAGATTAATATATTTTTAAAATATTAAAATAACCCTAAAAATAATCCCCAATTTTAATCCGATTTTTTCAAACAAGGATATTAACATACTCAAATTTTGTGTGTTTTTAATAAGACTAAGAACATGTGCATTGGTGAGAGATTCATTGAATATCTCACTAATATAATATTTTTTAATGTAGTTTAATATTTGTAATTTAATTTAACTTTAATATGTATTTTTAATTTTATCTTAATATATATATTTAAATTTTCAAATCTCTGATTTCGTTTTAAGTAATCAATTTCAAATGTAGTATTATTGTAATTTTAGTTAATAGTATTAATTAAAAATAAAATTAATATATTATATAAACTCATGTATAATAGAACTTGCTAAGTTGCTAGATAGATAATTTTATTTTATGATTTATTAAAAAATAAAAACAAAATTATATAAATTATTTAATTAACTTTTAAAACTATTATGGATTTGATTTATCATAACAAAATCTGAATCCTTTATGGAAAGACACGGGAATAGATCATCAATGCAACCTCAATATTTCGATTTCAAAGTCGAGAACCGAGTTTAGTTAGATTCCCCGTCTGAAAATTTAGCAACACTATATATATACATGGTCGGGGTGCGTGACATGATATTGTTTCTCCCAATACCTTTTCAAATCTGTAGATAAAAAGTAAAATTGATTATACGTGAACTGAAAAGGTAAAATCCAAACTGAAACATATATTACTAAAAAATATTTGATCAAAAACTTAAGATCAGTATCGAAAAGAAAACTGTACCAAACTAATATGTACTAGTCTACTAGATTAGGTTGAAAAGCTATAGCTTTCTTTTTAAATCGAAAAAGTGAAAATCTCAATGTAATTGAAATTGAATATTCGTAGTCTTAAGTGCACTTGTGGGGAATTAATAAGAAACAAAAGTAGATAACACAGGAACCAGGCGGAACAATGGTTTTGAAGGAAAGTTGTTTGTTGGGGAAATGAATACACAAAGAAGCTAATACTGTATATTGTATTTTATTCAAGGACATATTTCCTAGGTAACCAAATTTATAAAAAAAGCACAGTGTCATTTTCGTAAATTAGTGATTTTTTTTTCCGGACAGTATTGTATAATCAGATAAAATTACGCAAAACAAACTACCATATTTACGAAAATGCGATCCATCCACTTTGCAAATTAGAAAAACAAAACAAAATATTGTTATTAGTGCTATTACTTAAAAAAAAAAAAAAGAGTAGTATTTTCTCGGAGAAAACTAATACTTCAGTAGCAATTTATCGCAGGGGCGGATCCAGAACAAAAATTTGTATGGGGCACAAAATTACTTATTATTATCAATATTAAATTTACACCCGAAAAAGTAAGATAAATATAGCATTCCACCTTTAGTAAATTTAAATTTTATTTGGGTTTAAATATATTTAATTACATATATTAAAGATAAAAACTATATCGAAACATATCTTATTTCTACAAATTTAAGCTCTATACATATTAGAACAAATAATAAAAAAGATAATATGTTTTACTAATTCACTAGTTTTGCAATATCTTTTAAATTTAAACGTAAATATGCTTTACAGTATAAAAGGAAGATTTCAATTTTGTTTTAAAAATAACATATAGTCATGTAGGTGTCTCGGTGGAAAAAAAAATCAGCAAAAAAGTTCAAAAAGAGTATCGAACCCTTCACCTATGATGATACATGGAACACTTGTCTACCAAATAAGCTATAAGAACTAGAGAAATTGTTAAAAATGCCCCTTTTTCAATACCCCTTTTCAAAAATACCCTTTTTGAGAGTTCATTTTTAAGTTTGCCCTCTTTTAATTTTTAATGACCATTTTACCCTTATTTGAAACAAAATTAGGTCCACAAAATACAAAATATTTTTTGGCGGGAAAAGTGATCCCGCAATTTTCCCGCCAAAACACTTGTAAAAACCTTGTAAAATTTTCCCGTAAAAATTTTTCCCGCCAAAAATTTTTTTTTGCGGAAAAAGTGATTCCGCAATTTTTTTGGCGGGAAAAATTTACGAGGTATTTTAAAGGTTTTACGGAGTATTTACAAGTGTTTTGTAAGGTTTTACAATGTATTTTAAAAGGTTTTACAAGGTACTTATAAAGTTTTATAAGGTATTTATAACTTGTAAAACCTTATAAAAAACTTGTAAAACCTTATAACTTGTAAAACCTTATAAAATAGCTTGTAAAATTTTATAATATCTTATAAATACTTTATAAATACATTGTAAAACCTTTTAAAATACATTGTAAAACCTTATAAATACCCTGTAAAAATCCTTTAAAATACCTTGTAAATTTTTCCCGCCAAAAAATTTCCCGCCAAAAATTTAACGCCAAAAAATTTGCGGAATCACTTTTCCCGCAAAAAAAATTTTTTGGCGGGAAAATTTTACAAGGTATTTTAAAGGTTTTACAAATTTTTACAAGTGTTTTGGCGGAAAAAATTGGGGGATCACTTTTCCCGCTAAAAAATATTTTGTATTTTGTGGACATAATTTTGTTATATTTCCTTATATATTTATGATATCTTTTATTAAAAGAAGGGTAATTTAGTCATTTTGTACATAAAAAGGGTATTTTTAAAAATGAAAATCCAAAGAAGGCATTTTTGAAAAGAGATATTGAAAAATGGGCATTTTTGTGAGTCTCCCTAAAAACTAACTATACAATAATGGATTAAATAATTTTTAACAAGTAGTGTGGGGCACGTGCCTCACCCCATCACCATGTAGATCCGCCCCTGATTTATCGAATATATTGATTACCAAAAAAAAATTTATCGAATATATTTGTCGTCCAAGTCAAGCTTTCACATCCGGCTATTGCACATTCACCCCAAGTTGATCCTGGATCATCATGCATTATAGATCCATATTCTTCATCGGACAATCTAACACATTTTATTTCACACCGTGGGTGGTAAAATTGCGACTTTTACATTTGAATATATACAATTAATTCATTCATCACTCTTAAGAGAACATGGATAAGCTATCAACCTTTCTTTTGCTTTGATAATTAGAAGTTATCAATCAACCTTTCTGACAAACAACAAATAGAAAATTTATGAATTGCCATAAAATATGGGAACCAACCAGTTTTATATAAACGTTGCCTATCTCTCTAAAAAGCAGTCGGCCTCATAACTCTATATCACTCATTATTTCTATCCCTTGTTTGAAAAATCGCTAGGCGCTAGTCGGGCGCTCGGCATGGGCCTAGCGATTAATCGGAAAATCGGATTAAAATCGGGGATTAATCGGGGATTAGTTTTAGGGTTATTTTAATATTTTTAAAATATATTAATCCAATATTGTAAAAATTTATGATTTTTATTACAAATTTATGATTTTTATTAAAATTTGAACACAAGTTATTGTAAAACATCACAAACTCTCCATTCAAATGATTGAATAACAAAAATAAAAAGTTTTTTTATACTTGCAATCTAAAAGATAATCGGGGTATATAGAATTAGGCGGAAAGTAATCGGATTAGGCGGAGAATAATCGGGTTACTGATTTTTTAGGGGATTAGTCATTAATCGAAGCGGATAGGGTGGGCCTAGCGATTAAGCGGGGAGTAATCGGGGCTAGGCGGGGATTTTTAGAACAGGGTTTCTATCTCTCTATTTCTCTCTCTCTATGGACGAGGCTGCCAGAGAAACAGAAACTCAAGATTTCATGAACGTCGAATCCTTCTCTCAGCTTCCTTTCATTCGCCGTCCTAAAGATAAGAACCCTAAACCCATTCGTGTCTTCGGCAAAGATTTCACCGGCGGAGGTTTCTCTAGTACCACCGGTCAAGAAGACTACTCCGATCCCTACCAGACCAAAGACAAAGAAGAAGAAGAAGAAGAAGAAGACCAAACCGGAGATAACAGTAAGGACAATAATAGCATCAGCAACAACAGGAGATTCGAGTGTCATTATTGCTTTAGAAACTTTCCTACTTCACAAGCCCTAGGTGGACACCAAAACGCTCACAAACGCGAACGCCAGCTCGCCAAACGTGGTGTTCCCTCCTACTTTTATCATCCTGACAATAACCCTTACAGTTACCGTCATTACCCGTCGTGGACCAGTGGTCCATTAACAGCGGCTAGGTCCTATGGAGGATATGCTTCTGGTCCTCAGCTGTCGGCGTATTATACACGACCGAGCTATGGGAGTCAGTTAGGGCTATGGCGTCTACCGCCTCGAGTTCAAGGCGTTTATAACTCAAACGCAGCGTTGACTAGTAATGGCTCTTCTTCTAATTCGAGTTTACCGTTGTTGGCCGGTTCTCGAACCCAACTACCATCTCAAGTGGGTGGCTCCGCTGCTCAGAACAGAATGTCATCGTACCGGTACGGATTGAGCTCTAACGTGCAAGATCATGTGAGTCTCGATCTTCATCTTTAAAGATTTGAAAACAAATTAAAACTCGGAGTGTTCATGTAACTTAGTGAAAGAGAAAACTCTAAGTTATTGAGTGTTAAGTAACTTTAACGATTCAACTTCTTATAACATATTTCCCTTATTGAGTTGAGTGTTATGTAACTTAGTGAAGGAAAAAATTCACGCCGTGTTTATGCTTCTGAATAAGAAACGGCACGATGTGTAAGATTCACGTATTTTATTTTGTTTAATACTTTAATGTTCATCGTTCTTTTTGTTTTGTTTTTCCACACGTGCTTAGATGAAGGAAAGGAATTTACCATTTTACGTATCCACATTTATTGTAGCTTCGAACAATTCTGTTTTGGGTTCAGTGAAATTGTCAGTCATTAGACATAGTAGTACTTCATAGTTACTACTGAGCATTTAGTTATAACCACAATGACTGAGATTATTTATTATTACTATTATTTTATTTTTGTCAAAACTCAGATTGAATTTCAAAGAAAAAAATCATAGAATGATTGGAATCTTTACTGTACTAAACTAACAAGTAACAAATACAAATTAAATACAAAAATTGAACCTCTTGAGTACAAATCTTTTACAAGGGTTTGAAACGAATCTAATGGACACTGGACTCATCGCCATGTCCTGGAAACAAATAAAACTCAGGATGGGTAATAATAAGCTTAGACGATGATGATGATGATGATAATTTGGTAATTGGTGTGCGTGTGGGTAAGCGAAGACAATGGCCCAAGACAAAAGGGTAGAGAGAGAGACGACAAAGTGACTGAAGTGGTCCATAAGTACACAAATGTAGAGTTTGCGATAGAGCTTTCTCATCTGTCCTTAAATGTTACTATTCTCTTAACTTGCAACTTCGAGTAAAAAACATAAGGAAGCTAGAAGCTAAAGCAAAGCAAAATTCCTCAAGCTTTTCTACTTTTGTGTTTATTTCTTAACTTTTCTTTTAGAGACAATCCAAAGAATCAACAACTAACCTCTATATATATCGCAATCAATGACTTGAAAAAGTTGTGATTCACATACAGTAAACTCCACTTAACAGATGCCAAAGAGATTCAGTATGACGGGTTGGTCCTGTTACATTTAAAAGGACAGATACAAAACTAGTAATGATATCGGAGAATGGCAATGACCCAAAATGGTTTTCGACAAAATATGGGAAAATCCTTGTACCTAATCAACCATGTATATTATTTTTTTTATGTTAAACTATCAAATCAAAACATAAATATAGATAACAACGTAGCTAGGATTTTGTTTAGGCCAATGATCCAAAAGAGCATACGAGTTTCCACATTTGGCAAGACTTTAATCAAAGAATATCAGAAGCATTAATGCACAACTTCCACCAATATAATGCACTATGCAACAACTTGTGATGGTTACATATATGCTTTCTTATATAGAAGTAAGCTAATCTGATTTAATCAAGTCTCCTATGAAAGGAAATGGAAAATGATATGCCAAAACGACATATTGGACACTCTATTGGGAAAATGCAGGTAGATGCAACATCGCAAAAACTCTTGCTTGTACTTTTTCTCTAACAAAATAATTGTCTTTAAACACTGTAGCATGATGGCTAAGATATAACTAACATTAGCAATACCAATGCAATATCAGTGAAACCAACCTAAAGCTATAGATAAGTTTGAGAGGCAGCAGAAAGCGACATTGCGATTTTCCAGCTTGAAGACTTTAGTAGCGGAACAGTGTCCATCAGTTAAACAGGGAAGGGAACAGATGGTGCAACTTTAGCCTGTAGATCAAAAGGGAAGTGATAAGGTTTTCCAGATAAATTTTGTGGACACGTTTCAACATAAATTTTGCAATAAGGATGTTTCAATTGTCACCAAGAGTACGTAGGTAGTAACAAAACAAAAATACAGAGAGAATTAAAAGACGTATCTGCCCTCCCGGAACAGTTCCTCAGTTACAAACAAACAATACTAGTTGAGAATTACACGAGTATTTTTGTCAGATAATAGGAGGTTTTAGGAAATACTGTCAAAAGAGTTAACATCAGTAGCAGACTAGCAGCTAAAAGGTGACCCACCAGTTACTGCAAATTAGAAGGAAGCATGTGATGAGTGTACAAGGTGATAAAAAAGAGACACAAGTAAAGACATTGCCTAAATCTTAGAGGGCCACTTTTGTGCTCAGTTGTTTTTTTAAGATATGCAAAGAACTTGGTAGAATCTGAGGAACAGTGGCCCATACCCTTAGGAAAAAAAAGTTGCAAAACTGAGGATGATAGTTCGAACAGTACATATCTCAGAGCACTAACTGACCGTTTTGGGTAGTAAAGTTAAAGGTTAAAGCAAAGACCATGTGGTTGGATAATTGAGATATGACTGTTTCCTTCTGATTCCTAAGTTTCAACATCTTTATGCTTTGTATACTTTCTTTTTATATGTGCTCATCTTTTGGTGATGTTACATCATAATTCGTAAAAGGTTATATCAGAACCATAGACTAAAGAGATTAGCAACCATAATAGCCGAAACTGAATGAATATATAGGTAAAGGTAGCTACTGAGTCTCATTTAGTTCCATGACTGATTTTAACTTGGCCTATGAAGATAACTATAGTGTATCAAACAATTGCAGCATTAAGACCTAGACAGGGTAAAGACACAGTGTTAGAGACAATGGAGTTATTGTATATATGGATCTGGTTCTCACATGATGCAACTTGATCTATACAAATAGAAAAAGAGATCTCAAGATCTTGAAAATCATTGCAATTATGCTGCACAGAAGGAATGTAGGTACATATTATTGGCAACTGCATGACTTTACTTACGCTAATCTTTCTAAGTTCAAAAAAGGTGTGTGCCTCTTTGACATTACTAGGCAGCAAAAAGGTCCATTGTTATGAAGCACTTGAAGAGGTATTGCTATGAGCTGATTGTTAGTTGGGAAAGATTTGGAATTGAAAAATTGCAGATGTCTACAGTTAACGAAAGAACACTTGTAAGGCTACGAGCTAATACCAAGAAACCACTATCAAAAGGAAGGTTTTGCATTCTGTATAAACAGAGACAAGAATTTAATGAATCCGGTGGGAAAATGTGATATTAATGTGACTAATTTACAGGTGTAGTAATTCTACAGTATATATGGCAGACCTTAATTTGTATTAACAGTAAGATGGTGAAAAAAGAACGTGGCTCTTCAATTTTGTTACTAGCATGAGTAGAAAATTCAATGAAAGAAGTAAGTTTCTCTATCAGAGGGCCTTACTATTTACCAGACCATGACAAATAATCATAAATCTGAAGCTTCCGGACGTTTTACTTATTAAAGCATGATCATATCCATCGTAAATGTTTCTTACACAAGAAAACGTGGATGGAACTAAGAAGAAACTCAATGCAAGACACCGTCAACAAAAAAGGAGAAACAGCAGAATTATGATAACCAAAATTACATGCTCCGAACTAAGGAAGAGGCAGTTCCCTAGAAGAACAGATGTCTACTTTTGACATTTTGCCGATGCAGGTCCCTAAGGTAAAAGGTGGATAAGAATGAATCACATGAAGATAATGTAACACTTGACAACGAGACAATCCTGTGAGGTTTAGGCTAAATTTTGGTTGTGGCTGCAAGTGACTCACTAGGGTCAGTTTTGGTCGTTTCAAGGACCACTGTACTATCATCAACAAAGTTAGATTCAGCATTTTCCACTCAATAATTTCTGAAAACAGAGGGATTCCACGAACGAAAATAATTTTGTTACCTTCTTGCAGCAACATCCTTTACTTGCTCAAATGGCTCATCTTGTATTGTGTATGAGAATATCGGATCTTATGAAGAAGATGAGATGCTTTGAGACCAAGAATGTCAAGCAGAGAATGCAAAAACAACTCAAGACTATCTGAATGAGAACACATGATTACATGAAACTAAAAAAGAAACCTTAGGCAATAATCTCTCTTCAAGACAATATAATGTGACCTTCCAATAGCACAACAATGTTATAACTTGCATCACGCGCCAAGAACTCTATACCTAAAAAAACTACCTCAAAACATCCTTATAGCGGCTATAAACCATCACACAAAACATTAAAAATTCCAAGAGGCGGCAGCCAAATCCAATCATGAATTTCAAACCCACGAACCGGCCGGTTCAATCTAGAAGGCTAGTTTCTTGAATTTCAAACCCGGACCGAATTAAAATTCAACCGGTCAAATTGACCCGTTCGCCGTTCCTTGCCAAATTCTGAAATCGTCGTGCTTACTGGTTTAATAGTAAAAAGCCCATGTAGGCCCATAAAGCCCAATTAAAATAGTTCTGTTTTCCTATTTGGGCCACCTAACTCCGGAAGTTCACACAAAATAATACCGGTTCACGATTTTCTTAGGAATTTTGAAGCTAATTTCAAGAATGTAAGGCCATAATTCATGATCGAAGGGAATGGCTTTGGCTTCTGCAACAACAATGATGAAGGCATCTATTGCACCAAGTTGGATCGTTTCGAAATCGAACCGTATCTTCTAATTTTGTCTCTTGCTATTTATTACAAAATAACGTTTTCTATCCTTTGTCTCTTCTCTCTGATATTTTGCGGAAATTTCACAAAACTCCTTAAACTTTGTAAACTATATGAAACTAACACCCATACTTTTGACTAACTCTTTTTTTTTTTTTTCCTTACTTTTGACTAACTCTAGAGACTACAAATTAATGGATTGCAGTATAATGGATTTATACTAAATTTTTGCCACAAAAAAAAAATGGTTAAGTTTGTATGAATAGAATTCTGCTACTTTAGTATAATTTAAAATTTTCGAATTTGTGGCGAGCATCAGTTTCTAAATTTTCATTTACAACACCTTAGGTGAAGATACAAGAATACACAACAACTTTAGTTAACTTTATATCGTATTCATTATCAGATCATTTGTTCCAAGTTTTAAAATACTCAACTTTTGGTGATTGTATCCATTGTCACAACCATGTATTACTTATAGACCCAGATATTCATTTGCGCAAACTCTAGCATTCACCAATTTTTTTTAAAAAAACAAGTAATATCTACGGATTTTGTTGTTTTCATGATTAAAATCGGGCGGATTTTAGATTAAAAACAAATTGTGTTTTGATTATACAACTATTTTTATAGAAAAAAATCTAATAAAAAATCAATGGCACACATTACAACATTTTGAAACATTATCTAGAGGAGATTTTTGGCGGACTAGGCATCGAAATTCGGAAATTTAATGAAATTTGAACCCATTGTAGTATGGACTATTGGGTGCAGACAAACATTCACCGATTGCCTTAGCCATCTGTGACTTCAATGTCATCGGCTCAAATCCAGTGATATTAGTTTGGTGTTTTATTTCAATATTGACCATGCATGGCTCACATGTAAGTTCTTAGTAAAATAGTCGACCCTTTATATTCGTTTGACGAACGTACGGAAACAGAAGATTGAACTTTTGGGCAGAGTTGATAATTAAATATATAGTTGTCTATAATAGGGCTTTGTCAATTATCAGGTTTAATTATTTCTATATAGTATATCATCAACCGTACATATCGATCAAGGATGATGAATCACTCTCGCATCATCATGATCCATGACTTAAGTTGATATAAACTGCATTAAAAACATAATCATGTTTTAGATCTTTGAGATAAAGAATTCGAAGTTATACAACTGCATTAATTTACCTAAATGATGGTGACAAATCGGATTACAAATAATTAAGAAACTATCTTCTAGATATATAACGCTTACAAGATTAAATTTTGTATTGTGTAGAATTCTGTAACTGAAGTATACGAATACATCTCTTAAGTTTTGCAGTCTTGTAAACGGAAGCTATTTTATCGTCGTATTACTAGACTAATGACTAATTTTGAGAGTCCCATTATTGCTTATTGCTATTTAAACTTTTTAACCAATATAATTCACTTCAAGAAATCCACGTATAGATACAGAAGAACCGGATTCTGGATTGAAATCTATTAGTTATAAGATTAATATTCATATTTGAAAGTGGTAGCCGTGATATCAATTCAGAGAAAACCAAGAAAATAATAATGAAAACAATATATAAAAAGGTAATGTTACAAATATTTCATGTTAGAGAGACACACATTGACTATAGTACCATATGACCATGAGATTAATTAAAATACAAGTTTCAAGCTGCATGATTCTAAATGTAGTATTTTCTAAAACGAAAGTCAAAGAAATAAAGAAATCATGATTCAAAATCATTAAGCTTCCGGGAACGTTCCTAAAGTCTCCTGATGGGATATAATTTTAATTTGAACAATATATACAGTAATTGAATAAGGAATGCATAACAATCACATATCCTTCGAGATCAGATTGTTGCACTTGCACTTGCACCAACTCGTGGTTTAAAACTAAAGCGTGGTTGTAAGCTTTTTAATGAATTCTTTCCTCATCTATAAAAACGTAGGATACTAGAAATATAAAGAATTCTACCAATAGGTCATAAAGCGTTTAACTGTAAATTAGAGAAAAGAAAAATTATCACTTTTTTGTATAAAATAAAGAGATCTACCAATAAATCATAGAGCATTTATAATTTTTAAATTTTTTCAAAAAATCTATAAATTATATGAAAAAGTAAATCTAGAAAGATTTTTTTCTTTATAGAAAAATTTGTTCTATAAAAAATTAAGAAATGTCCCAATAAGTCATAGAGTGTTTGTATCATTAATTTAATAGAAATAGAATAAACTCCAAGAAAATTAAAGTTCTTCATATTTTACCCATGTTGGGGTTTTCTGTTTTTTCCTTTCTTTGTTGATTTTCCAAGGATTCACAAAGTTTTATAACCCACGGTTTTGACCTCAAATTTTCGACTCCTTTTGGATTGAAGAATTTTCAAGTCAAAGAAGTTCACGTCAGGTAACTATATTATATCGAACGTTTATATATTAGCTATATATATATATATATATATATATATATATATATATAATGTGTGTAATACTAGTCAGACATGAATAAGAAAGATATTTTCATATGTGATTTCTCGTGAATAATTAAGTTATATATGTGGGTATTGTTTATATGTGATGTCTGCAAAATAAGTTTTAGTAATTGATTTCTAAGGATCATGTGTACGTTATCATACAAGTTCATGTATAAATTTACTTCTATTTAGTTTATATATCTAAAGGATTTGACTTAATATTTTTACATAATTTTCTTTGGGCTCTTCTATTTTCAACGCTCATTTGTCAAATTTTGTTTTGTTTTTCTTATTTGGATTACTTTTTGCTTAAATTTGGATTACCCCTTCTCAGGGGTTTCAAATCTTTAATGATTACTAAAAAGGTTTCCATTAAGCCATAACATAAAGGAAAAAGTTTTTATTATTTGTAGTTAACGACTTAAAGTATTTGTTATTTCTTGTCGAAACATTCATGTGAGCAGAATCCAAAATTAGGGTTTCGGGAGTGATCATTTTTGTTTTGCTATTACAACTTTGTAAATTACACGTGTCGTTTTCTAAAAAAGAAATTAGATTGTCATGTACCTAAAAAATAAAATCGTCACGGAACAAGAAGCTCCTGATTAAGGCATGGATCAGACAAGCATTGTTGAGGCTTATGCATGTGGGCAAGTACCAGGGCTGTCTCTATCATCATCTCTATTTTCTTATTCCATACAATAATTTATTAATTAACCACAAAAATTCAATGAACGCACATAAAATATCTTATAATCTATCTATAAATTAAAACCAATCTCTTTGTACAATCCTTTATCCTTTTCTTCGTTCATCATCTACAAGCATCAAAATTCTTCTGAATATCATCGGTATATACTTTTTTTTTTTTTTCATTTAATACTTTATTTATTTACTATAAGGTGGTTTTCCCCTTGAAATATCAAGTAGTTAATTTATCCATGCTTTTTGTTTACTATGATTTGTTTAATAATTTTCCAGAAATGGAAGTCAATTATTGTCCGGAAACACCGTTGCTTTCGTCAAACGATCATGAGGCTGGTGATCAGAAACCGAAGTTAACCGGTATGGTTTCTTCAATGAAATCAAATTTCTTCACGGATTTGCCTCACAAACTTCGATCCAATATCGATCCGGAGAACCCTTTTCACCTTGATGTCTCCAAAGCTGCAGGCCTCAAAGGAGGTATGTTTTCCATTATAAGTTAGACAATAATTGTTCACAAGACTCACAACTACTAAACCAAATGTGTTTTTTTTTTCTCCTAAAATTCACATTTTTTAAAGATGAAAAGGAGTACTACGAAAGACAATTGGCAACATTAAAATCCTTTGAGGAAGTAGAAAGTTTCTTAGCTCGATCAGATGAGTATACCATCGATGAAAAAGAAGAAGAAGAAGATCGAGCTGAGAGAGCTGCACAAGAGCTTGCCATGCAAATCTCCAATTGGGCAAACATCTTTTTACTTGCTCTCAAGGTGTGACTTGATCGATGTATTGAAACATTTATATACATTGTTTTAGTGATGTCGTCTATTTATCAAATGTCTACAATGTGTAGATATATGCTACTGTAAAGAGTGGATCCATAGCGATTGCAGCATCGACACTCGACTCTTTGCTTGACCTTATGGCAGGAGGAATACTTTGGTTCACACATTTGTCAATGAAGAACGTAAATATCTACAAATATCCTATAGGAAAGCTTAGGGTGCAACCTGTTGGAATCATCATTTTCGCCGCTGTTATGGCCACCCTTGGTATATATATCCTTTTTTCTGATTTTTTTTTAGATAACTCTAAATTATATGTAATGCTAAATTAACCATATTACAAATGCGTAGGGTTCCAAGTGCTGCTTGTGGCAGCTGAGCAATTGATTTCGAATGAACCTTCAGAGAAGATGAATCATGTCCAATTGATTTGGTTATATTCAATCATGCTAAGCGCAACAGCTATCAAACTCGTCTTATGGATCTACTGCAAAAGCTCGAGAAATCATATAGTTCGTGCCTACGCAAAGGTAGATTAATTATGTGCATATATTCTTCTAATTCAATGTAAAAATGAGGACTGATTGATGATGTTTGTTATAGGATCATCACTTTGATGTGGTAACAAATGTTCTTGGATTGGTCGCGGCCGTTCTTGCTAATGCCTATTATTGGTGGCTCGATCCGACTGGTGCTATTCTTTTAGCCATCTACACTATTGTCAACTGGTCCGGGACTGTTATGGAAAATGCAGGTGAATTTGTATTTAAGTGTTGTCATATTGTTTGATATAGTCACAATGATTGAGATATTCACTATGATTTTTTGTTTATATAGTTTCATTGATCGGACAATCAGCTCCTCCAGAAGTACTACAAAAGCTGACATACCTAGTGATGCGCCAAGGTGGCGATAACATCAAACATGTGGATACCGTCCGTGCCTATACCTTTGGTGTTCTCTATTTTGTCGAGGTTCGTCTATATATATACACATATTAATGTTTCGATCGGATAGTTAAAACTTATATCATAGAAGTTGAAAAACATTTGTTGATCATTTGATTAGAAAATTTGCACTAATGGAGATCGAGGACAAATTTTTACCTGATTCTAACACTCGATAAGATTTATACAACTAACTATTTAGTTGGGTTAAATTATTGTTATGTGTATATATTGGCAGGTGGATATAGAACTGCCGGAGGATTTGCCATTGAAAGAAGCTCATGCTATTGGTGAATCATTGCAAATAAAGCTTGAAGAACTTCCAGAGGTGGAAAGAGCTTTTGTTCATCTAGATTTTGAGTGTCATCACAAGCCTGAACATTCAGTCCTTTCTACAATCCCCAATGATTTATGAAGATTGCATGTATGTATGTATGTGTAATTGTTTGTCTTGTTTTTCGTTGCTTCGTTAATATATTGTACTATGTGACCTCTGCAGCTTGATACATAGCAGAATGAGTTTTTTTTTTTTTTGTTTTTTTTTTTTAAATTGATTTTTTGCTTTAATGAATATTTACTTTTCGTCTTCTCTAACTCATAAAACATTTTTTTTTTTTTTGATAACTCAGGAGAATCCCAGACCTATGGAGGGGCCAAGACTAATCCCTTGGGGGAGGTCTTCTCTAACTCATAAAACATTTTACAAGCTCTAAAATGACCTTTTAATTAGTTGGGACGCATGCTATCATATATTTTTGTAACGCAAATTTTTATGTTTTTGCAAATTCTTCCCTTTACATCGGATTTTGCATTTAGAATTTAAATTAATATGTGAGAAACTAAAAATATGAAATTCATTAAAATGAAGAGTTATTATAACATGTAATCATTTCAACATTTATCATAAAAGACTCATGTTGTATATATTGAATAACAATTTATTCAGGGAGAAAACACTAAAATTTCGCACATTGCTTTACATCAAATGAAACGATCTATAAAGCAAGAATATAAAAAATAAAATAAACAGAGAGTACAAATTCAAAACGTGAGAGAAAAGTGTAAACTGTAAGGGAAAAAAAAAGAAGAAGAAAGAAGCTAAAATAAAAAAAGGTATAAAATTGAAAGATTTTTTTGTTTCGTTTTCCAGACGAATAATAACGTTCCGAATGATACAAAGTCATGAAACCTCTCACAATCCACAGTTTAAATCAACAGCAAACCCAAAACCGTTAATTTAGAATAGCGAAAACCTCAGGCCATTGCTCGTTGCAAATAAGTTATACTCTTCAACCTCTTTGCTCTCTTTCGCTTTTGTATCGTTATTTCCAACAGGGTCGCGCAAAACCCCGTCTTTGGAATGAGCAGGCTTGGACTTACTTCCAGTGGAAAGACCCACAGGTCCACTGAAATGGAATAAGGAAAAGCTATCTTCACTTACGGTCTGTGTTTCCGGTGGAGCCAAACCGTTTAGTTCATGTGGCGGCTCAAGATTCTGAGCTTGGTCCTCGGTGTTGGTTTTGGAATATGAATGGAACACTGGAACTGGCCCGGGATTGAAGAAGGGAGTTGCCGCATGATTTAGTGGGTTACCATACTGCAAGCACAGCGGGGAATCTCCGTTCATACTATATCCGAGCGGACCTGTGTATAGATAGGGATTAGGGTGAGCGAACGGAATTAATCCGTTGGCTGGAGCCATGGGCCAAGAGACTGATGGTGCTTGATGGAAGTAGCTCATTGGTGAAGCAGTCTGGAAAACGGGAAACTGTAGATTCTGGTTTAGCAAATGAGGGAACATGCCCCCTTGTGGTTGCCCATCAACAACACCATGTGCCATGTTATTGTTACTGTTATTATCAGAGTTGTTCCCAGTTACTACTATAGGAGTTTCCGGAATTTCACTCTTCCCAGTAGTATCTGGTATGAGGATATCGTTCTGTGTACCAACAACTATACTCTCTCTTCCTTCAGATTGCTGACTGGCGTCTTCAGAATCAGATGTGGAGGAGGATTCAGTGTTTCCGTTGTTTGAAGAAACCGTATTGCTCTCTCCCTCGCTCAGGCATGACGAGCAATTGTCTGAACTCGATGTACTACTCATCATAGGATCTTTCAAATGCCACCCATTCTTTGTTTCCCCGGACTCCATGCTGTTGTTATCTATAAGCTTGATATTATCCAATTTCTCTGTAGCCTTACATTGAGACAAAAGGTCAGATGAATTCTCAGCAACGATAGTGTCTTCTATCTCTTCAGCCTTAAATGTTGAACATCTAACTGTTACTTGAGACTCAGAGTTGCTTCGTGGATACTTCTTTGGCTCCATGGGCTCCCAAACTTGTTTTGAATGTAGTGAATCTCTAGTAGTAGAAGGATTTGGACCAACTCCCACCTTGCTCTTAAGTCTTAACTCACGATTATAGTCTGTTTGAGTATACCTGTTGCCTCGGAACACTGGCTTGGAGGCATCGGGTGCAGAGTCAGAATTGGATACTGTTTTTGGTTCTCTCATGCTTCTGGTAGCAGAGATGTTAGGTTCTAATTTTGCCTGGTATTCACCACTCGGTTTGCAACTGCAAGAATTGAAGTCAAACCTCTCACTGATCCTGTTGTCGCAACATTGAAACTTCTCATGAGACTTGATGCCATTCAGGCCACCAGTCTTTGAAGCTTTCACTCTTAACTGTCTGTTTGACCCATTGAATCCTCTTGAAGGCACTTCTAATCTATCATTACGGTATCTTGCCTCTGACCTACTGACAAACGAAGCATTATCCGAATATCTGCGTTTATCTGACCACCTCAAAGCATTATCAGACTGCACTTCTTTCCAGTATCTTGCATTCTGGTGAACAGTTTTTTGATGATCATTTGTAAAGTACCCGTTCTCATCTTCAAGATTTGTAAATTCTCTGTCAGGTCTGTGACAGTAGTGGTTTTCCGCTCTTGGAGAAGGGCAACCATCCAAACACTGTCTTTCTTGAACATCAGGAGAACCAGGTGGAGACAAATCTGCATCCCCCGTTTCAATTTCTGACTCCTCGCAGTTTATGGTATTGTTTGTCTCATCATCAAGGTTGGGAAGATCTTCTTCTTCCCTTGATAAATTCAGCAGCATGTCTTTATCACTAGATTCAGGGTTTTTCTTCTCCTTGCCTTTTTCTTTTTCCTTCAATCTCTCCTTTCTGCGAAGTTTTTTCTCCCTTTCTTTGGATCTTTTCTTCTCTTTCCGCTCCTCTTCTTCACGCTTTTCCTTCTCTTCTTCCTCAAGAAGTTTTACCTACCGGAGTTAAGACAACAGAATTGTTGGACATAATCTTGATCAAATTGCTTTCAGAACCTTAAGACAAAATGCCTACCTGTTTCTCCAAGGTGATAATTTCCTTGCAGGCAACATGTACACGTTGTTCTAATAGTTTCAATGTAAGACATACAAAGATACTGTGTGCATTTTGCCGAGCGGTTCCTTCCCTGAATGCTTTTTCAACCTAAGATATAATCAATAACAGACCGAAATAAGTACCTAATGAGCACAAAATAACAATAATAAAATGCGACTTTGAGGGAACCTATATCTAACAAACCTGTTCTTTAAAAATAACTGTTGCAGCATCTAGAAGAAACTCTCGAGCAAGTTCTGGACTTTTTGCATGCTTTTGTGGACGGGAGCATTCACCATCAAGCTCATTCCCATCTTTGTCCATCATGTCTTCATCCTTTAATAACATAGGAAGCACAGTGGTATCATTTAAAAAGTAGAAAGAATAATATCCGTGGAGTCATAAACAGTTGAGAAGTTTGAGTTAAAAAGTTTATGAATCTGGAATCTACCTCTTCTTCCTCAGCCTCTTCAGCATGCTCAAAAAACCTTCGGATGTTTTCACCTCTCTTGATTGAAACAAAGCCATCCCCAACTACTAGCCTGCCGTGCACACAGTTTTGACCTTTTAATGCATGGGCTTTGACGGATACCTCAGACCAGCGGCCATCTAATTTATAAGCTCTAAGGGTAATGTAACATGAATTTAAACCACGAAGGTTTAGGCCATTGACTTGAACTCTCCCATTCATGCCAACATTTTCAAACTTGAGGATATCACATTTTCCTTCTCCGGTTCCAATTGCCCACTCAAAGTGATGGTACATTCCAGCATTCTCAGAAAAAGTTTCCCGCCAGTCTGCTTTCACCGAATCAATGGATACCTGTAATATTGCAATTACATTTGTAATCCCATCTCGCAATATAGATAATCCTCATAAGAAAAATAGTAATATACTCTTCGAAAATCATAACTCTAGACTATAGGAACCCACAAAGATGAAAAGGTTAACATAGATGAATCACCTCATATTGGAAGGCTGTATCGGCAACACAAAACCATGTGGTACACCGAGGTTCTCTCCGCATTCGTTTCAATTCCTTAAGCTCTTTAAACTCACGAATAACATTTCGTCTGCAGTCTCTACAAAATCTCTTGCTGTCGAATCTGTAATTTGAAAGATCCATTTGTTATTAGGCCGAGAGAAAAAAAGTCTCGACATGACCAGACAAAGAAAAATGTTGTATTGCATGACTTGGTAGGCACATCCTCAAAGTCCAGACAAAGAAATGCCCATTCATCTAGCAATTCAGAATGTGATATCTTGAGTAGTAACATATCCTGTTACCCATGACCCAGATCATGTCCAAAAACTTCCTGACTCAATTTTGTGATTGAACAGCAAGGATATTAAATCTATTAATGACCTACCTGTACCTCAGTCTTTCCATAAAATCCTCTTCTTTCATCCTCAAAAGAGATTGTCGAGTTTCCTCGCTGAGTGCGGACCAGAAATCTACCAATGTATCACAAGAAAGCCTTGCAGTATGTAGAGCACACGTTTCTCTAGTTCCATGCCCTCTACCATAGCTAGCCATTCCTTGACTTATCCATCCTCGACCTCCACCACCACAAGCATCAGGATAAAGCAACTCACGTTCCCTTTCTCGAGCAGGGGCGCTGTCAAACACCTGCTAGAACCAATAGATTAACTAGTTGAACAGGAGTTGACTGCAAATAGGTAAACCTTGCATGAACTTACATTTTGAAGTCCTTTGAGAGACTTTGCGTATAAATAGCAATCAAGAAGCGTGAGTGACCCATCACGTGTCGTGGTGAGACCTCCCCATGGATGAACAGACGGATCCTGCATCTCATCGGAACATCCGTTACTGACAACTAAGTTACAGTCATTTTGATATTTCGAGCCTCCTGATTTGTTGCAAGGAGAAGTCCCTATTGATCCCTCCGGGTGCAAGGACTTCCCATGCATAACAATCTGCAAGAAACCTTCGAGAAGCAGGCCATTGCATCTGGAACAATACATGTTCTTACGAGCTTGCTCAAACAAAGTCTGTTTGTCAATCTTGAGGAGTTCCTGCCTAGCTTTCGGCGACAGCTCACTCCAGAACTGCACACAAGTTCAGAGCAATGTGCTTTGAGTTAATGATTTATCATCATATAAATAAGATCTGAACAAAAAAACTTGGATTGAAAGCAAAACATCTCTTAGCTAATAAACACCAATTAGAGAATGAATCAGAGGCTAATTCAACGTCCAAAAGCAAATGGGATAAGTACCTTTTGGAGCTGATTGTAGCTGACTCCATCGATTTCCTTTGACCAGAAGCCAAAAGAGTATTGGTCATTCCTCTGCGCTAAACCAGGCATCATTTACAGTCTCTTGTATTCATCAACCAATGTTTTCATTATCTCTCCCACAACAGAGACTGAGTCAATCAGGAACCAATCCTATTCGATTCAATTCCGTGGAATCGGACTACAAAAACACCAAATCCAATCGGAGAAATACAACAAACAACAATCGATCGCGATGAATCGAGATTTCTGGAAAATAAAAAGAGAAAGAGTCTGATTATGAAATTTCCCGGGAAAATCTGGGAAGGCAGATCCTTAAACAGAAAGAAAACGAATCGAATAGAGAAGAAAAGCCGCAAATCAGGGTTCCCTCGTGGTCGATGACGATGACGATGAGATTCGCGGCTGCGTCAATATATTCTAGAAAGAAAGAGAGAGAGATATGAGATTTGTTGTTGTAACTTATAAAGGGAGGCTCTCTCTGCCTTGCCTTGGTAGAAAAATAAAAATTAGAGGGAGCGGTTAAAATGACCAAACGATTACAATTTTATGTTCTCATTTTTTTTTTATTATTTTGTTTGGCTCTTTCTAACATTTTGGGTAATAAAATTAAAATCTGCAGACCACAGTTTATTTTTGAACAAAAAAGATTTGATAAAAAAAAAAAAAACAGATATATGTATGGTTTTTGCTTGGTTTTCATACGAAATGTTTGTTAGTTAGCTTTCCTCAAATGAGTAAAAGTGTGTATATGTGGGTGAGGTGTTGTCATCATGCTGTAATGGCTAAAAAAAAAAATTGTTTACTTTTTAAAATAAATTCTCATTTATAAAGTCCATAAAAAAAACTAATAATGTATTCGGAATTAAAATTTAATAAATTGTGTACACGTTGTTGACAAAAAAAATGGAAAGAAAATTAAATTTGAAATTGTGCGATATATGAAATAAGGATTTAAAACATGAAAATCATTTGCCATGTGTTATAGAATTCTGTTACAAAAAAATTATAGGGAGTTTTTGAAAAAAATCTTTTCTATTTTACGAACTTTTTGAAAACTAAACTCTATTATATGTGATAAACTTGTTTTTTTATAAAAAGTCAAAAGATCCAAATCTAATCAAGCTTTTACAAACTTGTTGAAACACTCTTGTCTATTTCCACACTTCTGAGTTCTGATTCCTGATATCGATATATGTCATCAAATGGAACTGAGAATTCGGAATGCTCATGAGAGTCATGAGTACTACTTGATATGATCTCACTTGTTTCAAGAGTAATCATTCCCTCATGCATAAAATCCCTAGATTTCAGCTCTGTTTCAAAGCAAGAATCACATAAAAGGACAATACAGGTTTTGTTTCTGCTGATTCATCTGAAGAAGGTTGATTTTCCATCATTGGAAGATGGAATAGTGAAACTGAAGTGCTTACAGACAGGCAATGTTGGTACAGGCCTCCTCAATATCTATAATCTGAAACACCGAAACTGAATCGAATTTAAGATGCTACTACTGCTATATAAAGAGTCTAAACCGAATCAAAAACACCATTGTGAACAGAAAAAAAGTGCACCGATCTTTTTTGAACTTGGTTTTACAACAAGAACATAGCCAAAATCATGTCTTACTTTTTCCTACATTCTCTGAAACCACAACAAAAAAAAAAACCCAACAAAAAATTACAGAGATAATATAGTTCTTGCAGCCACAAATAGTAACAATGGCTCCTCCAAACTGATTCATCATAGAAGATTTGTCATCATCTCATCTTCATCCCCATTGGAGAAGAATCCATTATACCACACTAAAACCAGACAACAAACTTCAAATCTTCCATATGATCATTAGCTCTCCACGAGGCTTCTTCTTATGTACATCATTTTTCAATCAGTTCTTTCTTTTCTTCGTTTTGGTTTACTCCTCTTTCCAGATTCGCCCGGTCACTCTCAACTTGAGTTCTTGCCTATCACCTCCAGAGAAGTAGAGTGCGAGGTTTCTTGGGATGATGAGTCCGTCTTGACTGTCCCGGACTTTCCTGTGACTGTCACGGATGCTTCTAGGGATCCCTTGCCATGTTAATTTACGTCCATGAGCTCCTACTTCCAGGCTGTAACTGAACTTCTTTGCCTCGTTCTCATCTCCCATGAAACGAAGGAATGCCATGTACACTGGAGCCATTCCCAGCTGGAACGCCTCGAAGTGTAAACAGAACTGTCTCCCAAAACAGTTGAACACCTAGAAACAAAATTTCAGTAACTGAGATTCGAGTTAAAGTGTAAAGCAACAAGTATCGGAAGACTAGGATGAAAATGGGACTAAGAAACCCTATGATAGGTACTTAATGAGCCCGTAAATTGGAATAACAAAAGAAGAGCAAAGTGGGAACCAGAATAGCAGCTAATTAAGGGAGTATGCTTGCGCTAACCGTGCAATAATGTAGGCCTAGGCCCTCTACTTATGGCAGCAGATTGATCAAAGTCAAAATTAAATAGGCAAAATAGAATAACATCAATAGCATAAGAGATCAGAAGCCGGAGATTCCAATAGTTCCTATTTAAGAATCCAATCTATATTTTGAAGAAGAGAGCTAAAGCCAGGAAAAGTTCATGGTTGGGGGGGAATGTAAAACTAGTCATATGATGATATAAAACCACAACCTACGTACAAATTTAATTTGAAAGAAATAACCTGAATCAGACTTTAAATTTGAAACCTTTAATAAAAAGAGGAAAACATATGGAAACAAGAAAGTTTTACCGTAAGCATCCATGTAGCATTTTCGACTTCATGTGGATTTGACTTTACATAACGGTGGTTGAAGGTGCATCCGTCATGCATATCGACTTTATGATCATCTTTGAGATGAACAACAAGTGTGGGGATATCACCTGTAACCGCGCACTCAGAACCAGCATAAGGACAAGTGTAAGGCCTAAACCTGCAATGCTGCTCGTGCTTAAGCTTGCTGTAGTAAGGAAAAATGTCATGACACCCCAAATTTTGGTACCGGCATGGAACTTCCAAAGACTCTGCAACTTTCTCAAGAGCTAAGCATCTTATGTTACCAAGCTCATAGCGACATGTAGGGCATGTGTTCTGCACTCTCACTTTGCAGTTTGAACATAATGTGTGACCATTTGGGCACTGTAGAATTAGACAACATTCAGAACATGTAACATTGCAATTACAAATCTTTTGAAACTCATATGTTTCTGACCTGATGAATTGGAGGGTACATTAAATTTGTACACACGGGACATTCAAGAAGCTCATAAACACCATTGTTTGAATGGATCCCATATTTTCCAATCCCTGCACTCCCTGGTTTTGTAGGTTTGTTATTATTATTAACTTCCACTTTTGCCGTTTTAACCTCGTAATCCATTCCCGTTGAATTAGATTCCATGACTTCTTTCAAAGCACTGCCTCCAGGAGCCATGGCGAGCCCAAATCCCTAATTCACTAAAATGAAATTTCCTTTTGTTTTCACTTGTCAGATAATTTACTCCTAATAGATCTCTTTATTATCCTGCAAGAAGAAAAAGGAATCATTAGCAATACAAGCTTATATGATTCACGTCAAAACTAACACTAAACACATCAAGAAAGGCTTATACATATATAGTTGATATATTGAGAAGGAAAGGAGTAAATTCAGGGGGAAATACTTAGTTCAGCTGATCAAGTCTTTTACTTTATTTCTAGGATCTGTTATAGCTTCTTAAGCAACAAAGAATGAAATAAAAAGAGCGAAAAGAAAACAAACATTTGAAGCAAAACATTAAATGCACTTTCAGATAGGAAAACAAAGCAATAGGCCCTTAAGCTATGAACAATGCTAAAAAGCTAGACCTTTGCACATTCCAATGACTTTAACAACAGTTAACAGTAATCAATCACAGGACTATCAAACATCAAAACAGAAAAATTCCAAGAGAACAAACAAAAAAACTCTTCTCTTTTCAATCTAACTAAACAGAGAGAAACATGAAAATAGATCTAACTAGAACAAGAATCAACGAATCTAACCTGTGACAGCTAAACAAAGATCGTGCAAGCAAGGTTTCACAATTTTGCAATTAAAAAGAACAGTTTTAATTCAAACAAGGTTTAAGCAGAAATCTATAGAGAAAAGGTGTTCAAAATACAAATCCCAATATCCTAAATCTCAGCATTATCTTTGTCTCTTTGACCTATGAAACAATCCATCCATAAACCAAACGATTCAAAAACAACAACATAGGGCAAAAAAAATTGACCTTTCGAGAGATATATTTCCCCCAAAAAAGCAAGCTAGATTCGTCGTCTTAAGATGCCTCCGGAGTCCGGATAATTAGATAAAACACCGACCCGAGAAACAATTTCGGAATTCGGTGATTGTGGATCTTTTGTTCCCGATTTCAAAATTAAAAACCCCAAATTCAAAAGAAGGAGAAGAAGTTTTTTCTTACCCGGAAGAAATTTTCCAGACTTTGTTATGGATTTGGCCTTGCTTCGGATTCAAATAAAGAGGAGAAATCGAGGGATTAATTGAAAATTTTGGGGATTACCGAGAAGAAACGAGAAGAGACGGGAGGAGACGGAGGAGGAGGAGGCTGGGTTTGAGTTTGTGTCCTGTCTTGTTCGTATCGGTGAAGAAAGCCATTAATGGTGGTGGTCTCTGTTTTGTCTTTATTCCCACTTTTTAAAAACACCTAATCACAATTCACGAAGGTGGTTCCTTTTTTTTTTAAGAAATTAATTTTATCTCATTTAATTACAATTATTTACTAAATATTCATCTGAGATTTTGTACTATCTTCATAATTATTACTCTTATTTTTCTCCATTAAGTTGGTGCGTTACAACGCTCGATTACCTTCTTTTTATATTGTTTTCAGATATGTTTACATTTTTGTAACAGATTTTAAAAAAGGACAAATATTTCCCCCTTTTTAATTGCATCAAATTCGCTTACGCTTGTGAGGGTATACACACTGGGAAACTTTAGTTTTGAGTGTGACCAATATATTTATTATAATTTTTTTTAAGAGAGAGAGATTTGGTTCAGAGGCGGAGCTAGCTTATAATTAAAGGGGTCATATGACACCTATGAAAATTGAAAATTTGGTGTAATTTTGTTAAAAAATCTATATAAACTCCAGCTCCATTAATATGTTGACCCCTATAAAATCATTTTCTTACGTTTTGACCCCTATAAATCAATTTCCTACCTCCGCCACTGATTTGGTTAGAGGAAAAAGAGAGAGGAGAGAGATGAGAGAGAGGAGAAAGATAGATGAAACATAAAACATTAAAATAATATCCACACCCAAGTGTTATCTCACACTCATGTGTTACACTATTCTATTATTTTTCTTTTTAATAATATTCACGCCCCACCAAAACATATACCACTGTATATGGTCTGAGTTGTGACTGTAAGTTATGACTTTAGAGTAAAAAACAAAACAACTAGTAAAATAGTTTTGAGATAAAGGTTACATCTCCGGCTAAAGTCAATTTAAATTGCCGAAAAATACAAAAATAATGACGAATTAAGAAAGATTTAATAACCATTTTAAGATTAAAAAATCTTATTGGCTCGAGTTCGTGCATCGAATAACGAGACGACGCTCGTTTCCCGCACACATCATTTGAGTTTTTTTTTTTATTCAGTTTTCAAATTTTGGCTTTTAACCGTTTATTTACCTGCATGCCGTTGACGTAATTTTCAGTTTCCTCACGACCTGTTTAATATTTAGAATTTTCTCAAATCATTTTCCAATGAGGTTTAAGGTTAAATTCAATTAAAACAGGACCATTATAAGTGTAAGCTGATTCATTTTGGCAGCTTATAATTAAGTTAACAAGAATCCAAGAAACTTTGTAATTTAATAAATGATGAAAGCCTGAAAATGGTGGAAGATGTCTGTTTTTGTGGGGCTTTTTTATTTATTTTTGTCTCCCCTCGTGTGAATGTATTTTTGCGGTGCTTTTTCTTATTGCCAAGAAAATATCGTATATAATATTAGTATTAATAAGATTTTTGTTGTAATCAGAAGAAGTGAAATAATTGTTGAAGAAAACCATACGAAGAGAGATAATTCAACAGAATAATAGACGTGTCACGTGTCGGATGTCGCTGTGCGCATGTGACATGTACTCTGCTCAAAGTCTTTTTGGATTTTTCTACAACCATATAATCATCGTTTTGTAACAAATTTGTCCAATAAAAAAAATACACACTACTCTAAAAGTTAGGAGACAACGAAAAAGTAAGGGTTTTAAAAATTACGACGCCTGAGAGATTCGAACTCTCGCGGGGAAACCCCATTTACTTAGCAGGCAAACGCCTTAACCACTCGGCCAAAGCGTCTTGTTGATAAGATTCTTGAAATGTGCTTTATATACTAACTGATTGCAGTCTACAAAGTTATTGGTTGTTCTACATGTTCTTAATGATTTTCAAATCCAACAAATTTTTATGCTATCTAATTTTAATTTGGAAATCGATTAAATTTTTAAATTTTGGTGGTTTATAAGAATAGATGTCAAGAACACTACGCATTCCAAATTAGATGGATTCAAAGGAAAGGAATAAGAGATTTTACCGTCAGCAAAAAAAAAAAAAAAAAAAAAAAGATAAAAGAAAATTTTCGATTAAAAAAACCATCCCTATTGAGAAAAATACAAAACAAATTACAACAAACCAACAAGCAACACAGGAAAAATAAAGTTACACAATCTTCTTCTTCTCTTCTTCTTCTCTTCTTCTTAATCATCATCATCGTCAGCTTCCAGGTTGAAAGCTTTCTTTTATTTATGTTTCTCAAGTAAATCTCCTTCTCCTAGGCGGACGAGAATCTGCACTGTCTACATCAGACACCCTCGAACCATTCTCATTCCTTCTCCTCGAAGACGATGTCGAATGAGTGACCATAGAATCAATCTCAACTGCAGTGTCCACTTGACTCTCAGAGTTTATAACAGCTGCAATGCTTGAGAATGAGTCTCTATCATCAACCATAACAGGAGCATGATGGTTTTGCTCTTGGTGGTTCCTCCCCAATGGATGAGTCCTAAAATACGCATCTACAAGCCTCTCAGCAGAACTCAACGCTGAAGTGAAAGTCGAGATCCTTGCAACTCGGTGCGACTGTAACTGTCTCCTTATCAACAGAGGATGGAATCTCGTGTTGGTTTCTCCTTCAAGATCAGGAGCAATGTTTGGATTCAGATCGATATCCTCTGTTGCTGCGACAATGGCTGCTGCTGCAGCACTAGCCTGGTTCTGCTCTGATCTAACTCCCCTAGATGTCATCAACCGGTTAAGGATCGAATTGGCTCGATCGTTGACTCTTTCCGATGCCTCGCGGTTACTAAAATCAGGGACCGGGGTTGAATCCCTGTCAAACCTATTTTGTATACGTCTAATCATTTCTTCCATCGGTATTGTAAAAGGCGACCTTTGAATTGTATTCCTCAAGCTCTCAATGCGTCTCGCGTGTGGTCTCATGGGGATCTTAGTATCTAAACTCTCTTCAATTTCTCTTTTGTGGTTTCCACGCCCATAGATCGGTGTCACGGTTTTGGAGGTCACCTCTCCTTTACAAACCGGACATTCCTTTGCATCCGAAATTTGTAACCATTGGTACAGACAAGGCCAACAGTAAAGATGGCCACAACATGTAAGAACCGGCTCCTTGGACAAATCCAAACATATATTACAATCGAAAAAGTTACCGTCGCTGCCACTGCTTTTCTCGATATCCGCTTTCTTATCCGATACACCGTCCCCAAGGGCTCCGTCGCCGTTCTCACACATTTTCAGATCCTCATTGCCTCTTTCACTACCCTCACCAGTCTGCAAAGCAGCTCCATTGACAGAACTTCCCATCAACTGGTTCAGTTCTATAGCCATGGTATGGGTTTCAGATAGAACCGGGATAGGGAGATTAAGCTGTCTGAATCGCGTCCTATGGCGAGTCCTGATCCTCGTCACAGCTTCAGAAGATCTGTCAGGCGGGTCATTAGTCCAATCGGCCAAATTCACAGTCTCGTTTGGTGCAGGTTGGAGATCAGACTCAGGACCAGGCCCAAGATTCAAATCCAGGTTCATTGTGTCAGCTAACTCCTCACCCATCAATAAACAAAAAGGCTATTGCTTTCACTTGCGGTGAACAATATGTACTCCGTCTCCGACTCACCGTGTGATCTATATTATTCTGCGGGGAAAGAGAAGCAAATAGCCAATTACCTATAAGCATATGTTCACAAGTTGTTTTGATAAAAATTCGAGAAGGGAAACAAAGAAGTCACTATCAAATATGCAGATCCCATTAAACAATCAATCTAGCTTTCTTAGTAGCCACACAGTTTTCAATGTAAACAAGAAACACAATGTGAAACTGAAACTATTAGCATAGTAACTATATCCACCAGACCAAAGCATAAACAAAGTCAAAAACATTAAGAAAGAAGAACACAAAGTCTAAATAAGATGTTACAAAATTTCGAACTTTGCAATAGAAAAAAAGAGTTGATTCATCAAAAGAAGAGATATATACCGTGGAAGCAAAATACAGGCGTGGGAGTTTGGTAGATTCTCAGATTTGCTTCAGATTCAATAGATGGCGATGGATTAACGAAGAAAAGAGTCGACTTTGGACAAACAAGATGATGCTAATTACAAATAGAGATGGCAAGAAGAGACGAGCCATTATTCCATTACTCTAGATCTCCGAAAACAATTTGAAAGGTAAACATCAACAAGAAAACCCCCAATCGGAAAACCCTAATTCTCAAATCCACAACCGAAAACAAAAAAAAAGAACCCAGATTGAAGAAAACCCAAAAGCTCTCGATCCAGCAAGAATCAGCTTAGCAAAACCCAAAAACCGATTCAAATCTTACAAAAATAATGATTACAAAACGAATCAGAAGAATCTGGAGCTGGAGAGAGAGAGAGAAGAATCAATCAACGACCTGGAGTTTGGATTAGGTCGTGTAAGACCATGGGGTTGATCAAATCAGCTAGAACAACAAGACCAACAAGCTCAGAGCTAGCTGAAACTCCGACAACGCCATGGAAAAATCGCCCTTTTTTTTTTTAAGCTTTTAGATACACAAACGTCCAAATCTTGTCCAATTTGGCTTAAGTGGGAAAACGAACCCAAAACTCTTCTAAGCAGAGAGAGAGAGGAATCTGGTACGCTCCGGTTTAGGTAAAGGATGGTCTAAAGTTTCCACGCGATGATCACGATCTCTTATGAACGGACGGTTAGGGAAATTTAGAATCATTTTTTTTTTGTGAGACAAGATTGTTTTCTGATTTAAGAGAAAAAAAAAAAGATTTATGTTTATGTGTAATCTTCTTTATTAAAAAAAGGTGTTTATAATCATAAGAAGGACGAATGTTGAAAGATACCAAATGGTTTCTATAAATGCATACCAAAACTCATTAGTTGTCTTTCGTTTTTGGTGTGAAAACCCTTGTTTAGATGCTAAACTTTCTCTATTATTTCGTTGTAATAGAAAGTTATACATTTTATAAATGGATAAGAAATCTAACAATATGGTCATATTGATCCATATCAATTATTTAGGAAAATCAACCGATACGAAATTACGGATCATTGAGAACACACAACTTTGGAATCGATTCAGAAGCATGAACGAAGAGAATTTAACATATTAATAAATAATAACTACTCAAACAAATGCACATAAGGACTCAAGTATATGTGATTTACAAATTCGGTTTCCTAAAACTTCCAAGTTTTGATTGAAAACAGAAATATTTATCTTAGAAACTCAAATTAAACTACAGTTGCGTGAGTACTTTTGGGCAATTGGCGTAGTCTCGACTCTCGAGTCTGACTCCATAGATTAAAGGGCCAGTAGATCCATTGGGCCCTGATTAAAAAAAAATCCTTTAATGTCTGTTGTAAAACCAAAAAAAATCGGAGATAAGATATCGGAGAGATATGAAAATAATTGGTTAGAGACTTGAGATTATCATTATTCATTATAGACAAACTTTTCTGTGAGCTCTGCCTCTTGCAAACCAAACAAGATCCAGAATACCTCCTCCCAAATTCGAACACAAACTAGTCTTCTTTTTTTTTTTTTTTTTTTTCCGAATTGGATCGATGTTTGATCAAATATTGTTTGGTAGCGTGGCTTACACGCAAAATTACAATCTCTGAAAATTGTCTATATCTAATGGAAAAAAAAAACCCATCATTATTCTGATATGTTCTTCAGGTTCTCAAAGGTTCAGGTTCTTTGGAACGACAGCGAAGATACACATAAAACACAATGGAAACAAATACAAGGAAACCAAGCAATGATAAAACCAAAATCAAGATGTCAGCGGAAGTGCTATTACGATGATGATTATGATGATGATGATGATGATGATGATGATGATGATGATGATGAGAGCCGCTGCCGAAGGCATGCACACCACCACTACCGCGACGGCCACCTCCCTGACCACTACCACCAACTTTTGCCGCAACAGAAGTTATCGAAAGGGTTAATATTACACCGGCGGTTAGGAATTTCATCATCACCATCATCTTTGGTGAGGAATAAGACTTCATCATCTTGTTCAAGAGGAATATAAACCTACAAAAAAACTAAAACAAACAAGCGACGCTTGTGATTTTAATCTGTAACAGAGAAAACTTGAAGAAAATAACAACCTGGGGTTTTGCATAGACAAGCCTCACTTAATAAGGAAAAAGTACTCTCTCCAATCCCTAATTTGTTTAGGTTAGTCCCTTATTGGCTACTCTATCCTTTTTTTCCATGAAAATGAACTAATAGATATATGTAAAATTATACAAATACGAGTTAAAAAAAAAGAATGATATAATTATACAAATAATAATTATCCATTTACTCTCTTTTTTCGATAAACTTTTGAAGCTCAATTTCGTTCTTGTTTTATTTCTATAAGTTCAAACCTTCTTGTTCAATTTGATCGAATATTTTTAAATAAGCGAATCGCTGAAAAATATTAGACACAAAGTCACAAACATTTGTAGTCTCGAGATTCTTAAAAAAGAATAATGTCCTTTTATGTTTCAAAATACATTTTAGATTCTAAATATAAATGTTGACATCAAATACATAATTTAACCCAAATAAAAAGATGATTAAAAACCAGTTCTTCCGTTTTTAATGTTAATGTCGTTGTTGTTAACGTGAATTGAAATATACTTTTTAATCAGATGTCCCCAAATGAATAACAAGTTTTTGCAAAAAAAAATGAAAAATTCAATTATACCATATGAAAAACCCTAAAAGCCAGTTCCTCATCACTTTCTCAAAAGTTCAGAATCTTTGGAACAACATAAGCAAAACACAAGAGTCAAGAAGACAACACACACGTCATCGTTAAACCCATGTTGATCCGTCAACCAAACCGCTATTACGATGACTAGAGCCGACGCGGATTGGAATTATACCACCACGCCTACTGCCACCACCGCGAAAACCACCACCTTTTGAGGCCACGGAAGTTATAAAAAGGATTAAGATTAGACTCGCTGTCACAAATTTTATGGTCATCATCTTCCTTGAGGAACAAGACTTCATCAACTTCTTCAGGGAAAATAATAAAAACAGGAAAACGCTATTGATTTTAAAGCTGTAACGGTGAAAAATTCAAAAAAAAATAGCAACTTGGTTTTGCATAAACAAGTCTCACCTAATCTACTCAAATTCCTATTGACGCGATAAGGAGTTATTTTCCTAAGAGTTAATCAAAATAAATACTATATGTTAAAACCTCAATCAGTAATAAAAATAGTTAAAAAGGTCATTTAACATTATCTTTTGAAAAAAGAAAGAAAGGATCAAGTATAAATATAGGTGCTTAAAATTTCTATATTTTAATTAGTTTTCTTATTTTTTTAAAAAAGCAAATTAAAATATACAATTTTTAGTTAAGTACTTTGGGTGTAAATAAATAAATAAATATTATCAAAGATAAAAAAAATATTAGTAAAAGTTATATATATATATATATATTTTTTCTGCTAAGAACAAAATTTATATATATTGATATTTTTAAATGAAAAATAAACAATTTTTTTAGTGTAATTAATGGACTGAAGAAAAAAATTTCCAAAGTTTGACATTTGACATAGGATTATACTGCACAAGCAAGAAAAAAAAAAAAAGAAAATCAAATGAACATTATACAAGAAATGAATGCATACATAAATGGATTTTTTTTTTTTTCCTCCATTTTTTACATAAATGGAAGTTCCTATTTCCTACATTCGTCAACACAAGAAAACTGGAGAAAAGCCAGGTTTATATGTGATTCATTCTGAGAGTGACACTAATTGCAGTCGGTATCAAACACAGAGTCAATAAACAATCTGCATCGCCGTGGTCAGAGAAAAGATCTTGCAATCTCTCTGAGCTAACCGCTTATCATACCCTATTCAACTCTTATCAAAACTCGAGGTGATAAACTACCCTATTAGTTCATGGCTAGCTTTTCGCATAAAGATTGATATGCCACAGTGCAGAGCTTGAACTTTTCCTCAGCTTCATTCTGTGTTTCATCATACCAATTTGTTGTCAGTGCCAAGAAACACATACAGGCTAGATGAATTAAGTTGTTAAAAACACAATGAAGTGGTTAATATAGAGGAGGAGATTGTATTAGTTACCTTGGTAGAGGCGTGGTGACGATCTGGATGCCATTTTAATGCACAAGCTCGGTATCTGAGGAAAAAGTTGGCAAGCGAGAGTTAATAGAGATTAATAAAACATGATCGATGTAAATACAGCTTCCGTCAGATAAGATGAAGTGACTAATTTTACTTACGCAATTTTGACATCTTCAAGGTTTAAGGGACCTGATGAACTCAAACCAAGTGCTTGTCTATGAGACTCCTGGTTTGGTTCTGTGTCGCTCGATTCTGTTGAAGAATACTTATCTCCTTCTTCTTCATCTAATCGATATCTCGAACCCCAAGATTTTCTAAAGTTGCTAGAGTACCTCCCCGAGCGAGTTCCCCCCTCTCCATGAGTGTTTGACCAAGAGAAACGTCGGGATCCACCCAATGCAGTCCGCAAAAAGTGCTCAATTTCATATCCATCATCAACTTCGCTAAAATCAAAACATCCTACATAAATGAAAGCATTGTATTGTTGGAGACTGATATCTACATCCAAAAGTGAAACCAACAAAACAACACATGTGTGATTCACTAGACTGCCTTTTACTTAACATAAACTCTACCACTAGCATTGTAGAAGCAGTTACACAAACTATATAGTTTAGTCATTGAAGAGAAAGCAGAGGCAAAGAAGAGTTGTCTTACTTACTTTTATCCAAATGTTGAGGGATGTGTCTTTTACCATTCCGATTCCTTTTGGAAACTCTAGAGTACTGTTTCTCAAACCACGAGGTGTGCTTACCAGAGTAATCAAACCCATCACTCCAAATCTGGGAAACAAAATTACATCAAAATGAAAGCTTTTTAGTTATATATAACATTGACAAAAAAATGTTTCATTCCGACAAAAAAAAAAAATTCACAAACTTGACATTACCCCGAATAAGTGTTGTGCAAAAGCATTCACATTACGACGCAAATCTTGCTTTGCCTTCTTTCTTCCCAACCTTTTGCTTCGAGCTTTTGAATTCTATCAGATGATGCAAAAACAAAACGAGATATTTATCCATATAATCAAACTCTGAACAATTGAACCAACAAAAATCATAGAGAAACACAATCCAAGCATCGATTGAGAAGCAGAAACAATGAGAATGTGCAGAAGAGAGGGAGAGAGAGAGAGAGAGAGACTGACGGATTGATGTTTGCGTAGTAAGATGGGAGTGGAATGGAAAAAAGCTGTTTTGATGTAAGAACAATAGTCTTGTCGCTTGAGAATCGCTGCTCTTATGGCGGCCATCATCTCCGGCGGCCAAAGATCTCTAACCGGAATGTTGCCTTATTGACTCTGCCTGCTTAGAGCAGAGTCAATAAGCAGAGAAGAGGCCCAATTAGAGCCTCAGTAATAAGGCCCAACATATCTTTAAAGCCCAACTTAATTGCCCATCCCTTTTTTTTTGTGTGCGCAACGCATGTCTAGTGAAATTCTTAATTATGTAATTATGCAGACTAAAAAACTCGACAATGCGATATTCATTGTATTTGTATTACTTGTAAACATAAAACACCATTTGAGAGGGTGATTGCTGTTTGCTTGTATGAGAAGAGAGTTAGTTCATCCTTAACAATTAAGAACGTAAGAAATACTTTTTCGAGTTTAACGTTAAAACCAAAACATAAAAAAGAGTGTGTCTTAAGCCAATAATATATAGACATGTTGTAGGACCTGAATATTTCAACAGGGGTACAATCTAATATTCGTAAAACAATTAACATAGAACAAGTATCAAAAATCAACAATACCAAAAGGATGATTGAAGAACGGAAATTGACGGTGGTAAATAGAGTCGAGAACTTTGATGTTCTCTCTCATTAACTTAAAAATCGCCCCGTAGTGTGTCGGTTTGATGACAATTAGAGTTCCAGGATAAAACTGTTTCTCCTTTTGATTGCAACACTCAAATCAAAAGCTAATCGAACACTAGCTTTGTGTTGTACTCTTAGACTCGAACTAGAGAAGAGAAGAAGAGGAAGGAGATTGTTACGTTGTTGAACGTGTGTCTCAATGAGAAACAATGGCAATCGTTTTATACCCAAAATCTCAACATACACACAATTAAGAGGATGATACGACACTTATGAGAATTGATTTTCAATTTCAAAGTCAAAAGAATTACTCCACCTTAATTGTCGTTGATTGATTTTGTTGTTACAAAACCTAATATTAAAGGAGATATTTATTGATTTAATTAACAAAATTAATCAAAACAACTTAGGAAAATAAGAATAATCTTATGGCTTATAAGCCCAATTCCCATTTCTCAAATCCCAATTACAGTCCATGTGTAATTGGGTTTCTCCTTTTAACTTATAAAGTTTGGAATTTTGACTACGAAAAATTGAAGAATTAAGACTGTAAGACCACGATTTCTACAACATGGCAAAACTGAATAATTGCAATAGATAATGATAAAACCAGAAATAAAATACAACAACCGATACCAATATTTGTTAAACAAAGAACGGGTTGTGCGGAGGCGAGACACTCTTTCCTTAATTCTTTAATTGCCCGTAGTGTGGCGGCTTGACGCAATCAGAATCCCAGGATACAACCGCACCATCTTCTGATTTGCAACACTCAAAAATCAGAAGCCTAACGAACTCTAGTAATGTGTGTACTCTCAGACTCGATAACTAGAGAAAAGAAGAAGAATGAGATTGTGAGCTTTGTGATCCATATGTCCATGAGATCAAAATGGAGAGATGAAACCTTGGTTTTATAGTCCAAGCTCTCAACACTATAATGGAGCAATAAAGGTGAGAATGTTATTGTTATGAGAATGAATTCTCAACATCAATGCCATTGACTCCACCAGCTTTAATTGTCATGAATTAACTTTTGTTGTTACACAATTTATAATTCACATTAAAGGAGATAATTGTTGACTTAATCAACTTACACATTTGGGTAATTAACAATTATCATTTGGGTTATAAGCCCATTTCCCAAATCTCAAAATCCCAAACACGGTACGGCTCGACACGATACAACACGGCTCAGCACACATGTCTAGTTTGGATTTCTCCTTTAACTTCCGAGGTGCGACATTTGATCCTTTAGTCAAATTTCAAGCTATCCAAGCTAGCCACTTCGGACTTCCATTTCTCATTCAAACGAACTTCAATTTTGAAAGTTATCCGAAAAAGTAGTCCGGCGCAACTAATCAAAATAAGTTCCAACACATGTGATTTTGTTCGGTGTATTCAAATGCCTTTGATTGTGAACCTAATGTTGTGTAGGGATGATGTGATCGTTGTAATATATGTGAATAGATGTGAATAGCAAAAGATGATTACAATAAATCCGGACCGTCAGATTGTTCACACAAAATGCTTCTACGCCATGTAAAGAGGAGAAGAAACTATTACTATGATCAGCTTACATAAGTCGAGCTTCACTAGCCTTTCTCACCTTCCTGTTTCGTTAATTATATATTACGTGGTGTGTTAGCCGTGCATATTGAAGTTTGCTCCCGAAGGAAAACTCCTGTTTCAAATCAAACGAACACGAGATCCAAAATATCACCGGAACACAAGAATATGTATCTTTTTTGGTTTGCCGAATTAGCAACCCTAATTAAAATGTTTGATCATATATGATTGCATCGTGACTTACACGCAAAACAAAACAAAAAATCTCTTAAGTGTCTATATCTTATGAAAAACAATTAGAAACAAAGCTATAGTTAAATATCATAAGTTCTTCACTTTCTAAAAAGTTCAGAATCTTTGGAACAACATGAACAAAACAGAAGACACCAAGCATGTCATCGTTAGACCCATGCTTGAACCGTCAACGGAAGCGCTGTTACGATGATGAGAACCACCGTGCCCGCCAAAGAGAAATAAACCACCACCCCGACCATGACCACCACCACCGTGACCTCCACCGCCGTGACCACCACCACCACCACCTTTTGCGGCGACGGAAATTATCAAAAGGGTTAAAATTAGACAAGCGGTCACGGATTTCATCATCATCATCTTCGGTGAGGAACAAGACTTCTTGATCATCTTCTTCAGAAAAATTAATAACCTATCAAAAACAGGAAAACGATCTTGATGTTAATCTCTAACGGAGTAAACTTCAAGAAAATATTAACTTAATTAGGGTTTTACATAAACAAGTCTCACCTAATATACTCGGATTCCAATTGACGCGACAAGGGAAAAGAAGATTCACTGCAATGTCTAATATATAAAGTTTAGATCTGAGTATCGTCCTTTATAAGCTCGACGTACTCTTTCGTTTTTCTTGCCCAAGAAAACGAGTTAATGGAAATAAATATATGTGAAAACCTCAATTAATTCGATATGAAGCATGAGGAGTATCATTAATTTACTAATAAGCTTTTGACTATAGAAATCTCCAATTATAATGCTCTTTTGTTCTCTTGTCTTATCTCCCAAAAGTTTAGACATTCTTTATGTAAAAGTTCTTCATAATTTCTAGTTTTCCATTTGATCTAATATCTTTTAATTAAGTAAGCGAATCATATTGAAATAAATGCACAAAATTTAAGTGTGGAGGCAAATTCTTATCATCAATGTTCGTATTTAGTATTTTAGCACTCTTTTTGTTTTAAAGTAAATATTGTTTTGATGCATTTTACACGAATTTAAACAAACTTACATTAGACTTTTTTTTTAGAAACTTGCTTATGCAGTTATGCTAAAACAAAATTAATTCAAAACTGATAAATTAGTTGTGTTCGTTATACTCTTCATAAAAATTCTAATATTTGTTATATGTGAAAAAAACAGTAAATAAACTCTACTCTCTCGTCTTCTTCTTCTACTTCTACTTCTACTTCTTCAGACTTCTAAGCAGCGAAATAAAAAAAAACAATCTTTGACATTTTTCCCCTTATACCTTCTTCTTCAATGGCATTGATCCAACGTGGTTCGGTATCTGGGACCTCTGCGGTTCGATTGAGCTTCTCATCCTCCGCATCACCAGCGTCGTCTTCTCCTCCACCGTCAAGGGTTTCTCTCAATTTTCAGTCGGAGAAGAAGAGTTGTTGCCGGAGAATGATATGCAGAGCTATGGTACAAGACGCGGTTCAAGGGATTCCTTCGGTTTACGCCAGAGAAATGGAGCGTCTCTCTGCTAAGGAATCGCTTATTCTCGCCGTAAATTTCTCCTCTTTTTATTTAGGTCTTCGAATTTCTTAAAAATTGAAACTTTCATTCTTAGAAATTGGTGAGAATTAGGTTGAATTTAGTATCTGGTTGTGGAAATCATTAGATTGCTTGCATGGATGGATTCACAGTATGAACTTTATCAGTGAATTTTTGATTGCTCTCTGTTGGAGTTCTGAAACCATTTTTGATTACAGTTCAATGACGCTGGAGGATTTGAGGCTCTAGTTACTGGGAAGATCACTGATATGCAAAAGATTGATGTGAATGAGAGGATAACCACTCTTGAGCGGCTTAATCCAACTCCTAGACCAACCACGTAAGTTGCTCCATTTTGAGCTTTAAGTTTTAAGTTTTAAGGTGGTTATTTGAGGGACCAATGCCTTTTAACTGGTTCCTAATAGCTAGCTTTTCAGGTCTCCTTATCTTGAAGGTAGATGGAGTTTTGAGTGGTTTGGATCCAATACGCCTGGTTCACTTGCTGTTCGGGTTATATTCGAGTCAGTGTTCTTACAATCTTGCTCATCGATAAACACAGAATCATTCGGTTTTATATCTTGAGAGTTTTAAGCATTGCTCTATCTGTTTGGAATTGTGGCAGGAGGTTTCCTTCGACATTGGTGAGTCTATCCAGTATGGACATAGTTATTAAGGATAATAACACAATGGCAACAGCAAACATCAAACTCCTAAACTCGGTAAATATGTATACGGTTTTCTCTTGATAAGATTTATGGATGTATTACCAGACTCAAAGAGAGTTTCTCTGTTGAAAATAATGCAGATAGAATACAAAATCATCCTGTCATCGAAATTGACAATAGAAGGGCCTTTAAGGATGAAAGAAGAGTATTTAGAGGGAATGCTCGAGTCGCCAACGGTTATTGAAGAAGCTGTACCTGACCAGCTAAGGGGTTTATTGGGTCAAGCTTCTACCACGTTGCAGCAGCTTCCTGCACCTATCAAGGATACTCTAGCCAATGGTCTAAGAATTCCCCTTGGTAAGCCATAAGCATCATTTCAACATTTTCCGCTCCTCACATGTAACATTGTAACCACGTAGTGTTGTTGTTATTGACTTTCAGGTGGAACTTACCAAAGATTCTTCATGATATCTTATCTAGACGACGAGATTCTTGTAAGTTCCTGAACTTTTATGATCATAATGCAAGTTGAAGCTTTCAGAATATTATAAAACGAGTCTTTTTGTTGTTGTGCATGTAGATTGTAAGAGATACCGCAGGAGTGCC